GAACTTTTGCATGGGCATTATAGTTTCCTGTATCAGTAAGACCCAAAGTATACAACTTATGGGCCAACAAGAGTGAGCTGTTTATGAGTATTAGAAATTTTGTATTATAAATAAAGATTATAGTTTAAATGTATCTGATATGTTTGCACATTTTCACACCAATGTATATGATGTAGATGTAGGCTCAGGAAAAACAAGCCAAATACAGAAAGTACATGCTATACATAAATGTATTCATTTTTGGTAAAACTTGATTGATTTCCATTAAGAAATTGTTTTTTCATTGGTATCAAATTCAGCTCCAAATCCAAAATTATTTCAAGGTAAGCAATTTCTTAACAGATGAAAATAATTTATGGAGAAGAAACATATCAGCATATTTCTAGAGGACTGAGCAACAAAAGTAATGAAGATATGAATATAATTAAGTACTCTTAATTACATAAATAAAAGTTTGCCAGCAATAACTTACATAAATACAGCTGAAATTCACAAGCAAATGCATGTCAAAATGCAAAATAGCAAATATTTCGGCATAGATATATCCTTTCTATTTTATGTGCCCCCATTCTAAACAGCTCCATGTGGATTCAAAATTTGGCCTCATTTAAATGGACTAAATCATGCACTTTAGACATCTTTTATAAAAGGTTTGAAAATACTGTTCATCTGGAACACTTGGAAATTAAATCATGGGAGACAACTCTTAAAACTCAGCTGATGTAAAAATGAAACCTTCCAATAGGAAAATGATTTCATAGTAAACAGTAAATTTTACACATCATCTTCTTTTATTGTAGAAGGTAAGCTAAATGATACTTCCCTGATGTTCGTACACAAAAATCAAAAAGTAAAATCATTACTTTTTATTTGAATCAAAAAGACTTAAAAAGTAGTTAAATAAGAAATATGATAATTCATTTATGTTCTTTAAACTGTTTCAAAGTTCATTTGCCTATATTCTTCTTTAAAGCTGTCCAGCACATATTACAATTTCTAGATATAAATACCATATACATATACTGATAAGGAAATCCAGTACTGGCAAGAGAAGGGACAAGAGTATTTGAAATCCCAATCACTAGAAACATGCATATTTCAAGAGAGCCATTTGCAAATTATATACAATTTATATATCTATACAAAAATCTTCCATTTGCACTTTAATTATCAAGATCCACTATTCAACTGTTAATTAAATTAGAATTCCATATAAAACTCAAAATAAAAATGTCTAAATGTATCACTCAAAGAAGTTAAATAAGAGCAAAAATTAATAATCTGCATTATATACTTTTTTTCTAAACAGCTTGTAATCAGAGTATTTCAATGTGAACTCATAAACAACACTACAGAAATCCTGTCACGATTCAGTCACAAGCTGATACAGCTCAGAAGACACTGTAATACTGATTTACCAACAGAAAATGTGTCACACCAACTCATGAAACTAGGGAATGCTTCATCTCTGGAAAGGTTTTCAATTTCAGGTCCAGTTTTGGAATTAGAAACTGAAGCTGACTTAAATGTACAAATCTGAGGATAAAAATATTAGACACCTTCAGGAAGATCACAGTACATATTACATATTAACTGTTTGAGGAACTTGCTACTGTGTGATCCCGAATTCTGTTATCCCTATTTATGATAGCAGACTGCATGATCCTACAATCTTAGATACTCTAATGAACTTGTATTTGAGAGAAATAAAAGTATTATATCTTTTTTTAAGAATCAGCTGTGATAATGAATTTTTAATTCAAAAAAGGATAGAAAAGCAAAATAAGTTATCTATTTGTCACAATTTAATAATTTATGACTAACACAAGTCACTGATATGGCAACAATTTACAAAACATATGACCAGCATATTCCACTTAAAATACATGTAGGGCCTCTGTATTTACAATGACTGACATCAAAGACTACTTGCATACTGTTTTGTAATACTTCTAGAAATTCAAGAAATACAACAAGACGATGACACTCGTCTACCCTGAAACCTGTTGAGGAATTTTGACATCCTTACAAATCTGAAACTTAATTTGAACCCAGATCATTCAAACATAATGGTTATTCCTATTCAAAATAATACTATACAATCATAGCTTTTGGTGATACTTGGATTTAACAACCCAAGACAAGATCATATTGATTGAGGAAGTAGTCCGACCAGAATGACATTTTATAATCATATTGATAAGTCAAGTTGATAATCTCTCTTAGAAACAGGCAACAAGCTTACCACTATGCAGTGAAAATGATGTCACATCCAAGTACTTCTAATCTTTACACCAAACAGGTGGACATACAGAAGGATAAAGGCTATCCTGGTTAATGCTCAACATAATAGGTCATTCCAGTTTAACTATTGTCCCTGTATTTTCCAATCAAATCATACTTCAGATCTCATTAAGTGTCAGAATAACAGGTTCACTGTACTTCAGTGAAAGAAAACTCACTTTGATACTTAAAATATAAAAAATAGAAAATGTTATTTTATAAACCTATCTTTTATAAACCGTTCTTCACATAGTCCATGTTTATATAATAAAATTAGTCCATGTACACCAATTTAGAGATATTCGTGGGCAGTCAAAAGATGGGAACACTTAACAATGGAAGAGCTGTATGTAATATTGTTACAGTGTATTATATGTATAATACAACTCAGTCACTGCCAAATGTAAAGCATCCTGTATTTAACAATTTTTAAGCAGATTTAAAATCTTTCACCATCATTTCAATTAAGGCTTAAAATTGTAAAACATTTCTATGTTATTTTTTTTTTAATAAGAAGAAATTTTTAAAGACGTTTAGGTTTTTAGATCGCTGACTGAATTTGAATTTATCTATGAATAGTAACGTTAAGAAATTGGAAAAATTGGTTGCAATAGAAATATTCTTAGAGAAATCAAGACGTATAAAATGTATTGCTTTGAAGTAATATGGCACTGAAAGCTTGGAAGATTATAAATAGTAACAAGTAGTTTGCATCATGGTAAGTCTTTGTACAAGGATTTCACATCATAGTAACAATAATACATGAACAGTACATATTCAAAACAAATATCAAACTTGTCTAAATTCCAACACACAATTAATCCTTTCATTCACTATGGGGTATCTATGTAGACCAAAATTTCCTCTCTAATTACACACATTACAAATTATGAACATACTACATCCACACTTTCTTTCTTTCTGTATACCAAGGTGTGTGGGTTTGATGCACCAGTGGCAGTAAGTGTTTCTCAGCAGTGTTTGGATAGGATACTTTATAAAAGGGGTCAATTCTAGATAAAATAGGGTTCTCCTCCTTTTGAATAATACTTAATCTTCAAACTGTTGGAATCCTTTAAAATTCATGCTTCAAAAGACTTTAGGGATGGTTTTATCACAAACTCTGCTCAGGAAGTTGGGAAATGAACAGGTCTAAGCTGACTTGCTTGTATCCTTGGGCGAGACAATTTTTCAAATTGCTCTGGATGGCATGTTATAGATTTCTGGCACTTCTTGTTGTTGTCATGACAAGAAACCGAGACCAAAATTAACTATCAGTAATATTTTTATTTTATTTAATCATCTAAATCATAATCCTGTTCATCTGCATTTACACTTAGTAAGTGCCTGTATAGTATAGAAGAACTTGCCAAAATGGGACACATTTGACTTTTAACATTGAATGTTTGACAATAAGTATATGTCGTCAGTGTTTATATTACGCCACTAAATACCATTTCACTGATTTAATTTTAGTGTGGTCTATGGTTTTCATGTTGGGTGTTTAAGGGATATCATTAATTAAAATAAACCCGTTTTCTGTAATAATTTGAGTATTTAGGGAAAGTGTAAGGTTAAGACCTATACATCATCTGGTCTGAGACAGGTTCCTTCATTAGGCCTTGATGAATTTCACAAAAAACGAACAAACAAGACTTTTTCCTTTGCAAGACGGAATGGATATTGATCAAATTTACTGCAAACACGTACGTAAGGCAGCTACAGCTTCTTAAATATGACACTATCCTATAAAAGAGGATAAAACTTTATAAAGTTACCTTATTTTGCATGGCAAAGAGATACTACAAATCCCTCTCATTTCTATACTTTTAATACAAGACAAATGCTGTTTCTTTTTAGTTTTAAATACTGAATAAATGCTCTCCCATTTAAAAACTTGAAATAAATAAACATTTCCTCTCTTTTTAACTTTAAACACAAAATAACGCTTCCTTCTTTCTAAACTTTTTATAAAAAAATGCCTCCCCCTTCTTACTTATAAATATCAAATAAATGTGTCCCTTTTCTAAATCTTATAACATGAAATAAATGTGTCTCCTCCCTAAATAAATCCAATAAATGACCCCCTTTCAAAATTTATATCAAATAATCTTTCATATAATTTAACCATTAAATTCTTAAAATAGAGCTTCTATATTAAGTAGAATTAGATAAGTACAAGAAAGACATATCAATAATAAGAAATACTGACTGAAGACTTCACAGATCAAATACATGTTGTTAATTTAGTGACAACATATTGACTTAACAATCTTTTATCAAATTATAAAGTCTTGGTTGTGCCACTGCAGGATAACTGGATCAGATGAAACAGAAGTCTACTAAAGGGATAATTTGATGAACCCACTTATGATTGCCTTCTAAAGATACTTGACAATGATACTCATTTACATTCCCACAATTCAGCTCTTTTATCCTCTAATTCATTCCTCTAACATACCAGAGAAAATTGACAAGAGTGATCATGAACACATGTTCCAAGCCATAGGTACAGCACTGTATAGAAACTAAACTAGGTTACACAACTACAGGTACAGCTATGTTGATAGCCAATGATGATGTTCCCTAAGATTCACCAAAATCACACAATGTACAAAAAGATATACTCTGATTGGTCAGAAACCAGTTTCATGTAAAGAGGGTTTCATGTGGAACCACATGTAACCAATTGATATCTAAGGTTTTAGTGACTCTACTTTACCATATTCATATGAAAAACATCTGTCATTTCCAGGAGACAGAATTTGTCTAAAGATCACATAGTGTAGACATGGACTTTAAAGATTGTTATATATTGTTTGAAGGTCTATCTACAAATGTATTTTCCGACACCAGGTCAAACTTAAAGTTTCAATACCTATTTTGTTCTGATCTAGACCAGTCAATTGACATGATTTTGGGGAAAAAAAGACACTTTGATGAATTTAAGGAGTAACGCCAAAGTTTTTGTAATGCAAGTACAAATGATAACCCTAACAGACTTATTTCAAAAACTAGTCATCATAATATTACACAGATCCCCCCTCCCCGACCAACAGTAACAATTTACAGGATTCTCTATACTATATTTACATCAAAATACTATTGACAGCAGCGTCCAGATCATCATCCATAGAAATATCATTAGGGTCATCTTCTGGGCTTACTGACCGAACTGGAGTGCTGGGACCAGGAGTGTCACTTTCAGACTCAGTCGTTGGATTTGTCATGTAACTATGGCGATTGAAGAACTCGTTTGATTGGTCAAGTGAGAATGGGGAGTGAACGGAAGAATCTTGATTTAGACTGACAATGGAATTTATTGCACTTTCCATTTGGGCTTTCAACAATTCTTGTTGTGTATCAGACTCTTTATCACTATCATCACTATACAAAGTTGTGGCTTCGTCATCCTCAACAGACTCCCGCGGTTCTACATCCAAATGCCCAGAAGAAAACGCTGGGACATTAAACGGTATATCGGAGTTGGACAAGTGTGGCGTGTCCTTATGCTCACCCATTCCAATGGTGTATGCGGAGTCTACCTTGTGTGTGATCAGGTTTGAGAAGGTTTCATCATGGTCTGCCTCTGGAGAGGATATCGGTTCATATTGTGACTGATGGAACCCACCCATATCAGCAACAGCACTGTCTACTTCACCATCATTACCAATACTATTAGATCTCTGTTTAGAATGACTCGTATCATCATCAACTCTACCAAACAATTCGTTTCCTATGGAGAATGGCACCTTGGAATCTGACATGAAGGATGGTTTAAATGACTGTTTATCTGAACTCTCAGATTGTTGTGGATAGTTGTGGGAATGATACATGTCTTTTTCAAAAGAACTGATGCACAGAGGTTGCTTCTCACTGGAATGATAGCCCAACACATTATTATCACAATTGCTGTCGTTGGAGATGAGGTGTCTCACAGACTCCTCAGACATCTCAAATGGCGGTGAATTTCTGTCTTGTGCAGCACTTTCACCCGGAGAATCCAAATCACCAGCATGAACCTCATATTCACTCCTAGAAATTACAGTATCCACTGGAGATGGAGAAGAGTTTCTGTATCCACCCGTGTCTAGATCCGAGTTACTTACAGGAGAATTGTCTGATCGTTCTGTTTCTAGGTAAAGCTTGAACGGTTTATTACTGTCTGACCAGTGATCACTTTCCATTGACTCACACTCTTCATTCACTGGTTCTGTTTTGATGTTTGATAGACGGGGTGCACCAAATAAACCTTTTGAGATGTCCTCTGAATCAGACCTACCACTGTTACTAGAATTCTGACGTTCTATTTCTGATGTGTCCATATTCACACTGTTGTCATGGTAACTACTTTCGTTACTATCACTACTCCCATCCTCTGCTAGCGAGCTTGTAAAGTTCTGGCCATCACTTCGGATCACAAGTTTGACCTTTGGAGTACAAGGTCGACTTAGTTGCTCCTTTTTTATTTCCACAGTGTCACTATCACTAGTATTTATTTTTTCTGTTTTAATCACTCTTGAAATTTCTGATACATCTTGTTCATCCATAGACACATCTTCAGATTTAACTGATTCTTGTTTCTGCAAGTACCTCAATGGCATTGGTTCAAAGGAATCTAGAAATAGAACAAGATCTATCAATATAGTAATACTTGCTACAGAATGCACATCCAGGCAATTAAGTTTCCGAATCCCTCTAAAACTGAAACTTGCAATATATGTAATTATATCTAAAGTGTTGTGATTTATGGGTAACTCTGTTACATTTTACCCATGTGGGAAATGTACAAGTGTTACTTTAAAATCTGGGAAATATTACCCCTTTGTTGAAAACAGGGATTTTTCGGTCTACTGTGAGAAATGGACAGTCTTTTCAGTCAGAATTCAAATGAGTGATGGGGTAAAAACAATGAGACATATGGAGATTACATGAATAAAATATGACAATCTTGAGGCTAGATTGATATTTCTTTGTTTTGGGGGATTTTTTTCCCTTCTTTAGAGGAAATTTTCCCATGTTTTCATGGAATCTGACATGAAGGATGGTTTAGATGACTGTTTCTCTGAACTTTTATTTTCTTGATGGGGAATTTGTTTATTTCAGAGGGGAAACCATGCAACTTGGGAAACACTACCTTTTTTTCGGTAGCAGAATTCATCTCTGACATTGTAGGGAACACACAGACTCAAATGGATTTCAAACCAAGGGAAATAACTCCTTCATGCTTCCAAAACAGAATTTCTAACCAATATGCAGCCAATTCCTTTCCTGTCTGACAGTGTTGCAAATTTCACACAAAATTCATCAATTTAAAAAATATTTTAATAAGGAAATAACATATCCTGTACATGTTTTTTCATACTTCTGAACACTTTGCCTGGATGAAATCTGATCAGCGTTACTCACCTGGATCAGAATTAACCAAATCCTTCTCAGATTTAATTGTCTCTGTTAAGTCTTCATTCATCAGTCTCTGGATCATAACCATCTCAGCAGTCTTCTTCTCTCTCTACACCAAAAAAAAAAACAAAAAAACCTCACATAAATAACCTGATCAAAATATTTCAACATCATCTCAATTGTTGTGTCTCAAGGGAGTAGAAAAATTCAATGTATACAGACTTTGATTTGCTTCCTTAACTTTCATTAAATTCTATTTTGTTAAAAATATCAAAAGCACTAGAGCTCAAGGCTGTAGTATGAAATATGTTTTGAGATCAGTAAAACATATTTTCAATTATAGACTCGAAAAGCTTGAAAACAGGATTTTGTATGATTATTTCATTGATAATAGAGAACATATTTAATAAGTAATCCCTCTAAAAAGCATGACAAGATCACAAGCTGATCTGTTTTGTAAATTATCAGTTTTAGAGCTATGCAGCAGAAAATTTAGGTATGAATGCATCTACATTGCCCATTTGACAATCCTCAACCAAGAGCCAGTACCTACCATACTCTCCTTCAATAGTAAGAGACGGAATTTATCAAACATTCTCTGCTTTTTGTGTAACAGGCCTACAGCTACATTCTCAAACACCTCATGATCTGTAGCAGATAAAAAACATCCCACAAATGAAAATATTCAGACATAGCACTTACAAAACATAAAACAAAATTTCCTTCCCGTCACTTAATAAGACAGAAGTTAACAGGAATTTCATTCTTTATGTCGCCTAAATGGCTTAAATAAATGTCTGTCATATTCAGATATAAACAATCACCTTGTTTTTCAGCCCATTTTAAATGCCAAAGCATGAAAACATTCTGACCTTCAGAAAATGTGAAATCATTTCCACACAGAGTCTTGCTAGATGTAAGACTGAATGAATAAATTTCAACAATAACAGCTGATATGAAACAATAAATTTCTGATCAATTTTAATCAGTTTCAAAATGATTCCTGCTGTCATCAAAAAATCAGTCACTACAAGAAGCAGTTTATTTTTAATCATGTTGTTCTCACCTCTCTCCATGAGACCATCAGGAGGAGACTTGTGCTGGAAAACGTGGTATCGGAGTAGACGGCGATATGTGTCCCGGCGACTCCTGAACTGTGACTTAGTGTCCGGCTTCAGAGCATTATCCTGGTCTTTACTCAGCTGCTGATGAATTCTATGAACAACAATAAAAATCATCAATGAACACTTGTAAAAAGACATATAGCTTTTTTGTAGAGTCTGATCTGAATTATTTTATTTGTGCCTTCAATATTAGTAAAGCTGTATCAGTAGTCTGCCCTTTTGACCTTGAAACTATATCGTAAAGTGTATTTGCTCTGTACATATACTATTTCCAGTATTATATGACAAGCCAATGAAAAGCGTTATTGCAGTAGAAATTGGCAAGAGTTAAACTAATTTCATTTCACCTCTGACATAAGTCTGAAAGAATTAATATACACGCCATAAATGACAGGTTGTTTTGAAACTTTTCATTGCTAAAAATCAGACTTACTAAAATAAGAAACTGGAAATAGAGACAGGAAAGACATTTTTCATCATTACACTTACAGCTGACTCTTTGGTATAGCTGCTAAAGGGATTCTCAATCCAGGAACAGTGGAAGTGGTAGCTGTGGAGACAGGTGTTGTTAAAGGTGGTAGTTCGGCTGGCTTTGTAGCAGTGGCTGATTTGTTATCTAGTTGCTAAAAAAAAAACAAGGAATGTTTCATTCAAATACTAACGTAAAATCATTATCTTTCATCAGGGCATTTTTGTTGATTTTGGGGGCAAGCTTTAACCACAAATTCATATGTCAATGAACTGGTAATATTGTAGGTTTATTGGGCTATATATTTCTCATCAAATAAAATGTCTTAAAAATAGCTTTTTTTCTCTGTAAATCATAAAAACTGAGCCCCATGAAAATATATTATTTTAGAATATCACATATCTCTACAGCAAGTATAACAAAACCATCCTTGTTATTAAAACCTTTATCCTTATTTCAGATGACCACGGAAAATTTTCAAAAATATCTCATATGAATTTTACACCTCTTCATATCAATATATCTAGCTTTTCCAAAACAGAATAACCTTCAAGTATATACTGAAATATTTTCATTGTATGATATTTTCAATGCATAATTTGTAATACCAAACAATCTACATGGAATCTTCATGTTCAGTGTAATTAACAGGGAGCACTGTACTTATATAAACTTTTTACTCTGAAAAACTTAAATTGCTATACATATATCTGGATACTTCTATGACTCTTTCATTTATTTAGTTTAGAATACATCCTTATTTTTTGCTATCAATTAACTGTATCATACATAAAATTGCCAATAATTTTGGTTTCTAATGATATAGGCAGTTTTGCCTGGTTACAATAGACAGATCACCTTTGTTTAGCCTTACCTGTACAGTGATGGGTAGTTTGTTAGGGGCTGGAGTCAGAGCTGAGCCTATTGTCTGTTTCTGCTGTAAAACCTGCTGTGCCTTCACTTGAGCATTTACTTGGGCCTGCAGCTGTTGTTGGCGTTGAAGCTTCAGGAAGAGAGAGATCTGTTGCTGTTGCTGTTCAGGTGTCATCTTGGCCAGATAACCTTGAACCTTTTCTTTTTGCTCCACAGTCAAATTTAAGTTCAGAGTGTGATTTCCAATCTATAAAGATAATATTAACAGTTCTTTATTAATTCTTTGTTTTCTCTCTTTAAAACAATACAATGAATTTTCCCTGAATTAAAAAACGCATGAAAATCCTGTCACTTCATACTTCATTATGAAGTTGACAAAATATCCTATTTATCCCCTACAATATGTAAAATTACTAAACAGTAGTCTAAATACTTGAATAACCCCAACTTTAAGCAAATAGGAATCTATGAAAGCAGTTTAGAAAGCATTGTTTTTAAATTTATGCAAGTTTCCAGCATTGTAAAAACTTGCCTTAATTGGAGTAGGCAGTGCCACCTTAGGAGATGCTGATATGGCCATTTTACCAGGAGGTGCTGATGTCATGACAACCCCCTGATGAACTGCACCAACAGGAAGTTGGTTCATTAGAACCTGGGTGCTCCCTGCACTGGCTAATTGACTTGCATCTTGAGCTGGATCTACATTCTCCACTTTCACATCACTAGGTTTGGCAGACTGTGGAAGACTTGTGGTGGGCTGGGTTAGTGATGCACAACTAGAAGGGGTTATCATTGTGGAGAGGGATGAAGTTGACATTGCTTCAGTTTTGATGACTAGATTTCCAGCTGAAGAAAACAGAAAAATAAAATCAAAACCCCTAGTCTTTTAGTAATGTATGAAAATTCAAGACATTCTCTGAAATACTTTGGAAAGAGTTCAAGATTTTTCCACATATCTTACATTAATTCATTAAAATATTACCATAAAAGAGCTTGGTAAGTTAGGATGTACAACTTACAGGAACCTTATATTATTGGAAATCAGAAACATATTCCCTAAAACCACCATGCAAAATGATTTATCATTTGAAAAGTACCTATGCAACTGGCATTCATATAAACACTTGACTGGCAGTTATTAACATCCCTTTGTCCCAGGACAAATGACACCTACTCTTGTAAGTTGTCCCATTGCAATTGGGAAATTTAATATATCCCAAAATTTCAAAATGTTGATAAATCATTGTAAAAGCAGTATATTACAAACAAGTATACAGTAATGAAAACTCTATTTCGTAAGTATTAAACCAATCCAAAAGTTTAATTTGAACGTAAAGAAATAGAAAATAATTGATAAATTGATGATCTGAATTTAATATGGAAATTATGTCAACAAAATATATCATTTTAGACAGTCTCTACTAAAAACAGAAATTTCAAATGTAAGGTTCAAATATGAAAGACCTGCTTACAAATATTTGTATAAACAACTTATTAGACTGAAATAATGAAGTAACAAGATAATCTAAGAAATGAAGAAGACTAACAAAATTGAAGTTATGTGCCCAATTCATTTAAGTTTTACACTACTCTCAGGCATAAAATCCAGTAAATTGTAAAATTATACATTAAAATTGGGAAAAATGTATTTAAAAAAAAAAGAAAAGAAAAAAAAAAGAGTATTCCTCATTACATTAAAACTTGTTGTAATTACAGACTAATACTTCTAATAGCACAAACGCAGGGAAAGGTTGAAATGACAGTATAATTGTAATTTACCTTGTGGAGCTGGTCCCGCTATTGTTGCCTGCACAAATTGCGTTGGTGGTGGTTGTGATTGCACGATTCCCATGGTCCCTTGTGTAGGGTCCTTAACAGATGGCCCCGGAAATGATGTGGCCTCCTGTTTCACCACTGACCCCTGACCTATTACTGGTTTTGGAAGTTGCTGTCCTATCACAAGATGAGGTGCTGTTGGAATATTTTGGCTTTGTCCTATTAACTGAACATTCTGTCCTATAAGATTTTGGGTTTGAAATTGTACAGGCTGTTGTGGTTGAGTTATCAAATGTGGAGTTAGAGATGAAGCTGTGCTTTGAATTGTTTGCCTGATAATTTGTCCTTCGGACAAGATTTTCTTTTGAAGTTCTTGTAAATGTTTCCGCTGTACTTTTTGTGCATTATTCAGGTTCTTTACTCCAGCTAACTTTTTGAGATTTTCCTGTATCTGTGTTAGCTGTGCTTGAGCCTCAGGGGTTAATTGAATGGTGTGCTGAAGTTTTGGTGCACTATCTCTTGCCTGTAGTACATTTTGCTTCTGGCTTGCTCCAGCCACAAGCTGCTGAAGTTGGACGGAGGACATCACCTGATTGGTGCCTTGACTGGTGGTTGTCACGGGAACCCGAGACTGAGTTACGGTGGTAGTAACAGTAGTGGTACTAGCAGTGCTTAAGTTAGGTGTGGTAGATGCTCCAGAATACTGGGAAATCAGAGGAATCTGCACGCTTTGTAGATTCTGTACGAGTTGATGAGGTGATGCTGAAGTGTGAGTGGTGACATCTTTCCGTTGAGGTGTGGCCGAGGCAGTACTCAAGGAGATTTTGGTGGATGAAGGTGTGGAATACACAGTCTGTTTTGGAGTATTTGTTGATGGTGTTTGTGATTGTTGCTGAATATATTGGTTTTGGTTTGCAATGGATTTCACAGTGATAGGTTGAGAACTTATCTGTTGATTGACAGCCATATCTGCACCATCAGAACTAGAACTATTAGTCTTTGCAACTTGTTGTTGAGGAACCACTTGAATTGCTGTAGGAATGGCACTGTTAGTGGCATTCTGCATTCCCTGCCAGTTGATGGTTAGAGGCATACCGGGTGCCTGACCACCTCCATGGCTGATGAATTTCACCTGCTGCCCTTGTGAGGTGTTGACAATTCGCTGCAGCTGAATGCCTTGGGCTTGTGACGACACTAACACTTGCTGTGTTCCTGGCGTACCTGCTATTTGGGGCGTAGTTTGTATACCACTAGCAGTTTGCAGTGGTTGTTGTTGCTGCTGTTGCTGTTGTTGAGATAACTGTACAATATTTGGGTTCAAAGTCCTCAAAATGATATTTTGTTGTTGACCTGCAGCGTTGTTGGTCCTCTGAATGAGGATTTGCTGACCTTGTTGGTTGACCCCAATGTAATGTGACGGTTGCTGGGGTTGACTCGTCTTGTCTGGGGTCGCTGTAGGGGCTGGTGTACTGCCTCCTCCTTGAGTAGCCACACGGATCACATTACCCAAGTTTCCAGCAAGGTTGCTGGTGTTCCCAAACACCATATTGGACCCACTGCTGGTGTTCTGTGCAATATTTAACTGGGGTTGGATGGTCATTTGTGGCAAGTTCTGAAAATTAATGGATTGACCACCAACAGTCTGGGGGACACTGTTATTTGGTATAATGATATGCTTACCATCAGCTGTCTGTATCAATGTTCCCTGGATATTGGGGGCCATGTGATGAACTGTTGAACCAGACTGGTTCTGTAGTTGTGAATTATTGCACAGCACATGTGCCACATTCAAATTGACTACATTTGGGTTTTGAATCACAGTATTTTGAGTATTCACAATATTTTGTCCTTGACCCTGTAATACTGCTGCTGCTGCTGCTTGTCCTTGACTTTGATGCAATAATGCATTGCTTCCTTGTGTAGGCTGTAGTATAGTATTTTGACCTTGACCTTGTTGGAGGATAGTGCCCTGACCTTGCTGAAGGACAGCAGATTGTCCCTGCAGCTGTATTCCAGTATTAGGATTGTTGAATTGAATGGGGATGTTCCTTGTGAATACCTGTTGAGTGGTGGCATTATTTGTAACCATGGTGACAGGGTTCACACCTGCCCAACTTTGGATCGGAGTGAGAGATCGACCAACATTAGTTGAGGTCACTGGTGTTATGGCTCGACTGACAATGGGAGATGTGGAAACTGGACTTTGGTTTGGAGCAAGGATACGGTTGATGACCTGCGACGACCCTTGGACCTGTTGCAGGCTGGATGCCAGTGTGGTGCTTGACTGCAGCGACTGGATTTGGGGGTGGGTCTGGAAAAAAATTTGACCCCCACCCCCAGGCTTAAGGATCAGCTGTCCATTGGGGCCCTGCACAATCTGCTGACCCAACCTGTGAAATAAAACAAGACTTGATTCTAATGATTTTCAGTAAACCTCAAATAATCATTTCTAAAATAACTATTTAAAATGAATTGTAAATTTTGCATATCATGCAACCAATTCTTACTTCTAATCAAAACTGAGCTAAATTTTCAATAAATATTGGGACAACATAAACCAATGCTAGGTGCAATTCAAAATTTAAGGTATGTTGTCACATATATATTAATATATATATATTTTTTTAAATGAAAGGTGAAAGTTTGACTAGGATTTGATCAGTATTAACATGCTGTGATCAGATATGATTAAATAGCAACATTGATTTCATACTGATATTGCGACATTTCTTTATAATAATATATAAATATTTCATTTGACATTGCAAATTAATTCTGAAATCGAACAGGGATAGAACAGTGTTTTTACTGTGTTTACAGTGTCATGTGGGATACAGACATATTCTATGTAGTGTTTTAGCACTACATTCCAAATACGTATCACATTGCATTCATAAATATGTAAAAACAATAAAATCACTGTTCCATACATTTACATGGTTTCATATCTGGGGAAATTTGGCAAAAAAGGGGTAAAATCCCCCATCACCTCCAAAAAAAGTCAATTAGTATATTTTTCTATTGAACATTTTTTTCCAATCAAGAAATAATGGAAAAGATATACCAATCGAACCTCAACATTGTCATGTTTTATTTATGTTATCTTTATACATGTCCTACATTTTTATCCTATTCCTCTTGTGAATTCTGACCAAAAGAACTTTCTAATTTTCATCATTTCTCGAAATAGGCCAATAATTCCCCCTTTTCCAAAACAGGTAGTTTTCCCAAAATTATAAATTTACCAATGATTACCAACAACGATATTTGCCAAATTGATTCCTGCTTTGGTGATTAATATATTTAAAAACAATCTGCCCATCAATGATATAGATGTCAGGATCACTAAGGCGGATGTAAACTTAAAAAACAAATTGTAGACCCAAGTTAGAGGCATATCATCACCCACCCATTTTGTTTTATACACAGTTTCAGCTGGATAAAGAGAAGGTGCAGTCACGAGTTTGGAATGAGTTAATAAGGTATGTAATGTTGATGTTACCGGATTCCAAATCTCAGGATCTACCAAGGACAGTGGAATATCAGATAGATCAGTTATCCCATTAATAAACACTAAGCTAAACCTAGAACACTGACATCAATGCCCTTGATTCCAAGGTTTGGTCTTTGTACATCTTGATCAGAAGAATGACTTATACAAGTAGGACCTTACTTTCTTGCATTTATGATAATTTAAATGCAACAAATGACCTATTGATTATAAAGGCACATGTAAATACATTATAATCACAGCTGACAGTTTATAAAAGTGGAAATATTTCCTCAAGTAACCATCTTAAGCCTTTATCTCTCTAATTTGGAAAACTTATAGAAAATATAGAAAGAATTAGGACATACCCCTGCTGTAGCTGCCCCATTGTTGACATGTTAATCTGTTGAGTTTGTGGAGCAGCTGTTGCTTGTTGCACAAGCCCTGTTGCACCCTGGACAATCTGCATACCACCAAGTGATGCTGATTTTGTTGCCCCCTGAGCTGGCACAGCCGAGCTTTGGGGGAGATAACTCTGTGCATTGGCAACATTCTGTTGCACTGTAATATGGTTTTGGATGGATAGTGGTGCAACCTCAACTGGGCTAATGGTCTCATTTTGAACTACATGTGTATTTGCACCATTATCATCCACCCCTGTTGTTGAAAGGAACTCATCTGCCCAGTTAAAGCCTGAATTCTGCAACAGATAGAGAATTTAAGTTCAAATATTGTGTATCAACGAACACCTGCTAGATATATTATTTTAATCTTACAGATAACAAACGTTTCAAATCTCCAGCTTTGTTCAGGAGTGATCAGCTTATTTCAGTTTAGCAAACTCTAACATAAGCCTTGAATACTGGTCTCACTATTTAAACTTCCCAGTAATGTTTTCTTCTTAAACTGAACTGATCATAGTAAATGAGATTGTATCAAGATTTTAATGCACAAACATTTCTTAATTTAAGCAAAATAGTCTGATATCCAATTTGTACTTTAAAACTTAAATGTCTCCAAACTAAAATGAGTTAACACTTGCAGGGTAAAACAAATAATTCAGAAGTATTACTATGTAATTTTTGAACCAACATTTAAAAGGACTTGTTTTAACTCAATGTACTATATAACTATTCCTCACCCCATCATCGTCTGGTCCACCAATTGCATTCCCGAACAAGTCATTCTCGCTGAAAGCAAAAATGAAAGTGTTGAAAATCTCAAAATGCAAAATGAGATTAAGTAATCTGAATAATTCTTTTGTATTTTACCTATCATTATTCATGCTTTTATAAAATGTACATGAATTTTTTCTGAACTTAATAGGCTGATGTTGAACTAAATCAAAGAAGTGTATTTTTTAAAATAACAGACATGCGTCAAATCCAGCATCTGTAACATGTGCCAGAGTCCTACCCTTACTGATGTGAACTTAATTCCTGTAACATTAATATTCAAAAATGGATATACACTTCCTAAAATAAGGACAATGAGGCATACCCAGTAATTCAGTGGAAGTATTCAGCAACATGGCATGTTCTGACTAGAAACTCTTAATTACATCATTTCTTCAAGTTAATCTGTGTAGCACGTATTGATCTTCATACATTGATGATCATGGATTTGTAATCTGATTTGTGACATAAAATGTACTTACTTTATAACATCTAAGAAAGATCCCCCATCATCCATGTCAGAGAGGACTGTAATACAAGATCACACATTTTATAGAGATTTGCTGAGATGTTACAATGATGTTCAATTCATGTCTCCACTTTTTAATTGTCTTGTAAATAAAAAGACTTCAGAAAAATGCTGGTTTCTCTGTCAGTGTATCTTTTTTATATATTAGTATTTGTATTCATCATACAAAGCAGTAATAAATTATTGATCATATCTAATGTAAACAGATTGTCCAATTCAAGAATAGTAATAAAAAAATTAATTTCTGCTTATACAGCTGAATATTTATACCCCCCTCCCTTCCTTTTTTCGATGACCGAGATGTACAAACTATATTAGACTAAATATACCAAAACCTTCCTATAAATCCTGGCATTTCATCAAGTCTGCTACCTATTTTAAAACAAAGATGCTAACTATGAATTTAATGTTAAAATCCTATTATCTATATTAATAACCATAATTAATTACCCATCCAATGTCTTGGAGAGAAAGAACTGGAAATAGGAGTCGGAGGATTTCATTGGAAAAGGTAGGTGTCATCACATCAGGAATCTAACATCTTGGTATGGCATAGAAAACAAAAACCTGTAAAACAAAGCAACATAACTGAGATATTTGTAAAGCAGAGTTTTCCTCCTGCTCCTGTTTTACAATAAAAAACAGATTATTTTCAATAGTAAAGTCAACTGATATTTTAACAGAAATGCATAAAAAAAAACAAATAAACACATACACAAACAAAATATCTGGAATATTTCCGCTATGAAAATGCATGCACAGGCTAAAAGTACACAATAATTCAGGTCGACAAAATACTGCTAGGAACAGTACTTAACGTTTAACACACAAGAATACATGTACCATATATATCATCTCCCTGCCTAACTGAAGACCTTCCTACTTGTATCATATTAACATACCATTAGCTCTTGGCATGAAATCCCTCCATATCACTTCCTGTATATCTGGTACATGTCTCCTTTATTCAGTGTCATTTTTATCACTTACTGTCATCTTCCTTTCTACTGGAACTTTCATCATTATTTACATAAGGGATAGTATGTTGGTCTTAATGCATATGTTGGAAAAATTAGATCATGAATTTTTATTTCAACACAAAATGAAGTTGGGTGTTAAAATGACAAAATTCATTATTTAATCTACAATATATTCATAAAAACAAAAATAGCATCACATTCTAAAATAATTTGAGCCTAAAAGTTATGCTATAATATTATCACAATATCAATGAAATTCAACAAAAACTAAAAACTGCGCAATTTCGTTTGAAAAGTTCTCTCACATGTTCTTAGCCAATCAAAATGCCCTTTCAACTATTGACAATGTAAACGTTCTGCTAACTTTCCAGTTAAGTTGTTAAAAGATGTCAGGATATAGATTGAGGCATTTGAAAAGGCTTAAAATGTTTCTCTGCATGGGTTATCAGTTTAAATTGTTATTTATATTGATATTTAGGGTACCTGTTCATATCTAAACTCTGTCATGTCTATCTCAGAATGGTTAAGGTATTTATTTACTAAAGTAGATTGATAAAACAACATATCGCTGAGAGGCATGGTCCAAGAGATCACGACAGGAGACTCATCAGTACCTTAAAAACTGAGATTGGGATTTATGTATCATTCTCTAAAGATATTGTCATTTTTTTTTTTTTAACTTCATCTTCCTGCTCAATTTTTTAATCATATTAACCTGTTCATTTTTATTGACTCTCATTAATTAATCATGTCTCTAACTTATTATTTTGACATTGTCATTATTTTTTTCATCTTTTTCTACATCTGCATTATCATCTTGTAATTTTCATTATTACTTTGCTATTTTTTCTGCTATTCCATTTTTCCTCTAATATCAATTTTTTCTGCTATAATTCATTCTCATCAAATTCTGTCATCTTCGTTATCCTTTAGCGAAGATTAACAGCTTCACTGGTGATGCCTATGTACTCTCAACAAAGTAAGGGTTTACATATGACCGCAGTCTGGACTATCAAGAGACAAATATCTTTTTGCTCCAAAGGCAGAGAGTCATGTAATTTAGAAATTTCTCTTTTACAAGTCAGGAAATCATTCTGGGAAGTCAAAATTATAGTATGATGTATTAAATGGAAGTCCTGTATGATCACAATCAATCAGTTTTTGATGATACATAAATCTACATACTAGTCATCATAATCTTACAGAGATGTATCATACCAGTCAGACTAATTAAAAGACATCTAAAGTCTTAATTTTTTTAAATATGCTTTCACTAACATGTCAGTATAAAATGAGGTTTTTAGAGTGGTAAGTAAAAAATTTCTCACCAAAGAGTCTTTTATTTGTATCACATCTGGGTGTCAATTAGATGTTATACATTAATATCATATCACTTGTGCTAGCTTACACGACACTGAACATAAAAGATAATATATTAGACTTATATTACTAGCAATAAAACAACACATAAACACTTTTTTTAAAAATATTCAGCACGTCTATTATCTACAAATGTAGTTCATTACACTAAAAGGATACAGTTCTATTATTTCAATAAACAAATAAGTTACAGAAAATTAGAAAACGCGACTGAAAACTACCCTTAAGATAATATTTATCGACGAATATAAATCCTCCTGTTTTACAAATGGCGGATCTTGTACCTTATTTCTTGGGGGCCATTTGCCCCTATTTACGGATTTCGTTCAAGACAGATTTCTCTTGGATGCAAGACTTCTGTTTCCATTGATCATGCTATGAAATTGAACTTGTTACAAAACACAATCAACATAAGGATATATAATTCAATCATTCAGTTGAAAGGCCTTTAAACCCATAATACCCTGAAGGATTGGCAGGCAGATTATTTTTCTACCGCCAAGCATGTCCGATTCAAAAACAGACATTTTCAACAACCTGCTTAATAAGCAAGTGTTGTTTAGAACGATTGAACAGAAAGGTTTTGAACCTATGTGTAACAAGTCTGGTGTTAACAGTAGTAAATTCCCTAATCACCATTTGTCATTGGGTTGGAGGAAATAGTTTAGATACTTGGACTGACAAATGAATTGACACTTCCCGGCAAGTTATCGAAGCTTTCGAAGCTAAAGTTATGTTTGAACATGACCCCATTCTGAACAAAGCATTATCGCAATCGACAGATCCGATTGAAAGGATCATGGCGATATATTACATACGTGCATCAGAACAGTTCATTTTGGAGAAAATAGAGGCAATAAAAACCGCCAGGGACTTACACAACCCCATCCCGAACCTTTCCCAACAAATTTTATCAGTAAATAATATTCAGAAAACACTCACCGTCATGTAACATGCCTGTGACCTAAGGGGCTTACAATTGGTTGATCAGGGACATATTTAACCTTTGACCTAGTAATATCGTTCGTGGTCTATTTGCATGTATACAGGCGGGTTTAAACCGTGTCACATTATCTTCCCAATTTAAACGTATTCTTTAAGCATTACAAATGACGATGACAACAAAACCCAGACAATTGCGTATTGTCCATGTTGATACTCGGACGAGTTTCGCAGTCCAAATTGTCAGCTTGCATGCTGACGTCAAAGAATTGACCTCTAACCGGAAATAAAAATGTATTGGCTCTGGTTACACCACCCCTTCATTCAATACACTGATATAGCGTATCTGACCGCGCCCATTCTATTATTCACAAGTGTGGATGAAGTGTAGTTTGCATGTCAATAAAATAGTATATATGCTCGAGGGAAATGTTGCAAACCAGTCCATATCTGACTGCATATTAATATTACCCGTAAATCGATGACGTAGTACACAACGAATGCATACAACAGGTGCGTGTTTTGTGCTCGCACGAACCGAGAGTGGTTTCGTTTTGGTGGTACCTAGGTACATACGCATTGTTTATGGATTGCTTACTCGTAAAACAATATCATCATGTACTGTACTTCGACAATCTATCTTAATAATTTTATAAGACTGTCACACAATCATTTATCATTTAAAGTGACTAAAATGACATGTACAGGACCCCACCCCCTCATATTCCTCACTCTAGCTCATACTAGCACCAACAAATCTACACGGACATCTTTTGGCGTTGGATGGTTTTAGCCTACAATCATCAGAAAGTGGGGTGTGCTGTTCTTATTTTCCTGTGGTCCTGCGCCCGTCTTGCTATCGTTATTTATTGAGAAGTAGTGGATGGGTCTGTCACAATTTTCAACTGTTTAATCCCCTAGGTCTATATATGTACATTTGTAGCTATGCCTATTGATTTTACTGCTCATCGGCAAATATGTAATTTATTATCTTAATATACACAGTTCGCATATATACATGTATGTATTTATGTATATTTAATAATAAGGGCGATAACTCTTATAACAAGATTTACAGGTATATGACTAAATTAACAGGAATATATATATAGATATATTCCTGAGATAAGTATGATGTTGTGAAATAAATAAATTCTAAATTAATTTCTAATTGTTATATTTGGAACAATACAATGACCTTCATCAACACTATTTTAAACAACATTTTTTCAGAAATTAAAAGAAAATGGAGGAAAACACACGATTACCTGCATCACAACGCTGTTGTACTCTATCAATATCGCACGGTAAAGATGGAACAGACAGCACTTGCTGCGGCCTTCTTATTGACACAAGACATGGAACTGTCCTCACCCATGCCTCACTCTTGTCTCAGATGCTAACAAGTAATTCATCTGTTCTTAGGGATTTAAAACAAGACTATTTTTCACAGTCAAAACAATTATCTCTTTTTAACGTTGAAGCCCTTTTTCAGGAGGGTCTCCAAGAAAATGAAGAAGACAATGACAAGGAACAGTCTTCAAATGGCAAACTTACCCCAAATTTTCTTAATAGTGAGTTGAGTAATAATTCTGGATTTGTAAAATATGATGCTTCGGTTGAGTGTATTTTTCAGAGCTGGTCACTGAAACAAGTTCTTGCAAAATTGTTACCTGCTGACAGCTGGGACTTTGTGGAAAACTTTTCTGAAATTGATCACGGGAATGAAAAAAAGGAGAAGAGAAACCAAAACAGTCCAGAGTATTACAGTTTACTTCCTTGTTTTCTTGTTTTGAAATTAAGGAACTGGAAACCCTTTGAAAGCATTCTAGATATGCACTTATCAGTTAATACTCGACAGGGAGACCATGTAGAAATACAGTCTACTCCCTTTGGAAGTGTGAGTCCAGAGATTTTCTTTAATTCTTGTAGTCAGGGAATCATAAGCAATCTTGTAGGGAAAAACAACATCCTGATTCTGACAGATGCCAGGTGTATCCCAGGAGCCGAAGGTGGCGCCCTCTATTTCTGTGATGGAAAACACAGGTAAGAAATAATTCTTTGAGAAATATTATGTATGAAACTAGTGATAAAGTTATATGAAATATTTTATATTTTTGTAACAATTATTTCTCTGCGTGTGCTAGGATCCAAACCAGGGACCTTTGGCTTACTAGTCTCAAGCAATCGAGCTAAAGAAAAGATCTCTAGCTGAGTGGTATATTGCTGCTAGTATTTATCAAGAGCTGCCAACTCCACCTTCAGGAAATAACTTGTCCTGGAGTTTCCAGGGGTTGCAGCAATGCTTATGAAAAAACATACCAACTTGGCAACTTAATCATAATTCCAACTCAAATTCCATAAAACTAGGGCAAAATATGAACCAAAGAAAGATTTACACAGAGACTCCTGAGAAAGTACAAGGAGATTAAGATCAGGTGTTCTGGAAGAATAAGCATCTTCTGCTTCATCGATGACACCCGCCATACAAACCTTCGTCAATCCAAGTAAGTAATGTCACATTCTCAAATGAGAACAAGGTATACAAAAATGAAACCAACAAGCAAGATTACTCGCCTCAAATATGTCCAGCTTCATGTTGCACAATGAAAAAAAATAGTCCTCAATGAGATCAATATGGTGACCATAAAACTTTGACATGATTTTCATCAACCTGCATCTTTTGAACCCCTGTGTTATGAGTTTGTCTCAGTTGGCGACTTCTTGCATGGGAACAGGCCCTTGAATATCAAATCAACTGCGACATGTAAATTCCATAGGTTGGAGATGCAGGAATATTGCTCTCCAGAAATGGAAAATTTACAATAGGGAAATTGAAATCATCACGTTTTTCATACAACTTGATGAAAAGCTGTCCATGTTGGTTTCATTGTAGGAAAAGATTGAGATAAGCAGCTGGTGTAGAAGAGTGTCATATCTTTGATTTCCAGTTGTGGTGGATATATACCATGGATGTAGTCGATAAATTTCTTGTTACTTAAAGACAAAATGTCATCAAAATATCAGAAGATGAAGTTAAATGACTTTGCGAGGTCTTTGTGACCGGTATAGATAAGCTCTTCAATAAATTCAGCCTCGTATGAAAACGAAAACAAGTTGGTCAACAGACTGGCACAGATGGTTCCTATAGATACACCAATAGTCTGTTGGAAACCTCGAAGAAAATGTTGTCAACCAAAAATTTGATCATTTTTATGATTTCTTCCTCCGAATACTTCTGTGATTTGGACGTAAATTTGACAAAAGACGCTTCAGTATAATCCACAACCATATATTTATACCACCATTCATCTTTCTTGGAGAAAAAAATCTCTCGTAACAAGATAGGGAAGGCGTTCCTTCAGTTTAGAATGGGGTATGGTGTTGTAAAAGGTGGGAAAATCAAATGTTCTTATGGAAGAAACGTTTTTCAGAAGAGGATGATGAAAATTCTTCAAAAATCCACATGCTATTAATTCCACTTTTTGAGTAAAGAGTATTAAAATAAGGCTGTAACCCATAGTACTTAAAATGGTGGTTAGTAGTTTAGACAAAGGCTTGGTTGAATAGTTAGACAATCCAGCTGTAAAACGTTTATAGGAAATTTTGTGAAGTTTAGGGATCCAGAATAAATGAGGGAGGTCCGTATCCTTATCATTAATAAGCAGTCTAAATGATTGTGATACCGAAGCATGATTAGTTAGTATTTCATCTTACTAGTTTGAGACTCAACCGAGCTAAAGAGGAGTTTATTTCTATCTGAGTGGCATATTGATGCTAGTACAAATAAAGAATGTTTAATTCATGTTTTTTATTTGAGTGGGGCTTTGATGTTACTGTAAGGATCTTTCTACATGTAGCATAGATTTTTTATGGGTACACTGTGATGGCCCCATCATATTTTGTTTCAGAACTTTGGTAGGTATTATGATAGCCACTTTGTGTTGGAAGCATAATGAATGGGTTGGACTATCATTGGCTGCGTCTTTGTCCGAGATCCTAGACTGTCTCAGTGGTCTGCCAGTGAAACGGTTCAACAATACATATAATGCAATCAACAATACGCAATGTAAGTACAACAAGATACATATATAATTCTTGTATACTCTATTCAGTCTTGTTATTCTTATAAAGAAGTATATTTTATTTGAACACGATGTCTTGTAAATATTTTCAACCTTTAATTTTTCTTACCCTTCAACAGGGACAATGTCGAAGGTGATTAAGTCTGTTCAAGTCAACATCCCACTGCTGTCTGTCAATGGTAACTGGGGATCTGGTGTCTGTGTGGGGCACAACAGCCAAGGTCATAGGGTCATCCTTACCTGTAGTCACGTCATTGGCAAAGGTGATCTTACCTCCAGTAAGTTTTTTTTTTCTGCAGATTGAGAGTTTTGTAACTGACAATCTCTCCAGTTGATGGGTATTCAGCAAATATCATCTCAAAATGTTAAGAAGTAAATAATAAATTCACTTTTTATAAAAGTACTCTATGAAAGACATTTTTACCATGGGTTTTGTCTTGAAAATACAAGACAAGATGGAATAGAATTGAAAGTATCATGATATTATTGAGTCTATTTTCTGAAATTATAGAAACTGTTTCTTTTGAAAATCAGAAAATATGTTTCTAAGCATCTAACAAAATGATGCAGTAGTTCACTTGTTTTCAGAGATGTGATGAAGCACCATCAGACAGTGTTGTTTCATTCTGACAAAATTGGCTCCCAATTGGCCCCATCACTCATAGCAAGGTTCTGAATTGCAGGTGCTTTAAACCAGCTTCCTTTTGCTTGCAATTTACTTTTGCAAATTTCACGATGAAAACAAAAATCACAAAAATCAATCACTACAAATTAAAACATAGATAATTCTTTATGATAATGACCATGCATGCATTATTTATGGTGATCCTCTTGGTATTGTGCCATATGTTGTTCAAAACGCAATCTGGTCTCTGATAAGGTCACTTATAATCCTTGTCCCTCAAACAATTTATTTATGGTACGCTCTTCTTTTATGGTCAAATTAGCAGCCATATATGGGGCTCCATTCAGGGTTAAAATCAAGACTGCACTTTGAATTATAGAAAGATGGTTCAGAATTCGCGGAAGTAAATTGCAGCAAACTTGTTGTATTACTGACATCATAAAAATATCCCTGATGTTTCTCACAGAATTGTATATATAACTATATGTACATATTTGTATATTTTCTACAGTGGAGGTAGTGTATAAGCCTGACCCAACTTCTCACCGAGCAGACATAGTCTACCGTGTACCTATGGGTCAGCAGTTTGACCTTGGAATCCTGCTTGAACAGAGAATAACAACTACACACCAGACTGGCATCAAAGTCAGAAAGACTGCTCCACTCAGACAAGGTAATAAATTGAATCATACTAGGAAGGTGTTGAAGGTGTTGGGATGTATGATCCTATGGCTGGGAGAGATATAACAGACAACATGATTTCATGCCAACTGTTCTAAATGTTTTTTAGTAATCTTCTATTGTTATTTGGAGTTAATTCTAAAACTATATCAATATTTGTTTCAATCTATAAAGTTTATATGTAATGGATAGAGCCAATGCCGTTGTTGCATCAATGGAGGTCTGCAGGTTAATCGCCTCCTGTCTGGATACCCTAGGGTATGCAGGGTATTGATGAGAAGGGGTGAGCTTAAATAGGTATGAATCAATCAAACAGATTGGAGGCGGGTTCTTCAAAGTTTTATCAGGTAGTTGGTCTACCGGTTACGCCCTTATAATAGGGCTTCATCAGGACAACATTACCTTGAAAATTATCCCCTAAAGTACATTCAAGGCGGGCAAATTTACATTGTTGCTTGTGACGTTATCAATTAAGGTCGATAACTCTTTTCACTATTACTATTATGAACACGTAATGTGTGACGGTAAATTCCTTCACGGTTATAAAATGTAAAATTATAGTAAGTATAAACAATTAACCCAGTTCATTAATTTTCATCTAAACATAGTGTAGACATGGATTCCGACTGGTAATTCAATTCACGGTAATCCACACGCTCATCCTCCTCCAATTCGGATGAATTGGGGGTAGAAGCCGTGCTCTCCGAATCACTTAGTGCCAATTCCTGCCTTTATAAATCCATCGTTTCCTCTAGTACCGGTCTCATAGGTGGGCCACTGGTGTTGACTCTAGTGGCTGGCCTTGTCCTGAATTTAACACTCTCCAAGACTTCAAACGGTCTTTTGTTGTCTGGTTTGACTGCTTCCTGCTTCACTGTATCCTCATATACTTCAGGTTCGATGACTAACCTGGGTGGAAATTCCTCATATGTCTCTTATAGTCACCATCTCTGCCAAATGTTCTTTTACACATTTTGCACTTGTACCATGTTTTGACGGCCGCGTGGGCCACATTGACATGTCTTCTTAAATTCCTTAAGGAGGCATAAGATTTTCCACACAAAATACACGGTATTCTGATGGATCCAGTAGGTTTAGTTGTGGTTACCTGCTTCCGTGGGGTTTTCTTGATGTTTGCCATTGTTATGATATCAAATTAAGGCCTTCCGGTTGTCGCGTTTGTAAAATCAGAATCCAGCTTTCTTCAGTCCGTAGGCGACAGTTGATATTGTTGACGTTGGTCGCTATGCCGGTAACTATAACATCATCGGCATTGTGACCTGGTGACGTGAAATGCCGCGCTACGGGTTTGTCTTGATTTCTGTGTAGAATATCATATAAGTTGTTGCGGATCCTAGTATTAATAGTAGTAGACGTCTGACCTACATATTGGATCCTACATACCTTACAGGAAATTAAGTATACAGCATTTACGCTTTTGCATGTGATATGGTTTCTAATCTTGTAACTCTTCCCGGTTGATTTGCTAGTGAATACTACGTTCACAACCATGAATTTGCAAATCCTACATTGTTGTCCGCACGGTCCACTCCCATGTTGGACCGTGCTCTGGTTGATATCTGTTCTAATCAGAAGGTCTCTGATAGATCTCGGTCTCTTGAATGCCACTATCATGTTGTACTCAAGAAGTTTCTCTGTAGGTGGGCTCTGTCTAAGAATATGTTTATATTTCCGCAAATATTTGGCTATAGGAGGATTCCTAGGGTTGTAGGTAACAATAAAAGGTGTCAGTTTATTGTTGGATTCATTGTGACTCGGGTTGAGAAGCTGGTCCCTCGGGACCCTCCTCGCCTTGTCTATAGCTTTCAAAATTAGTTGCTTAGGATATCCTCGTGAAACAAATCTGTTCAATAGTTGTTGACACTTCTGTTCAAAGTGTGCGGACTCACTACAAACTGTCTTAATTCTCAATGCTTGTGAGTATGGTATGCTATTAATTTGTTGATGTGGATGGCAACTACGATAGTGTAGATACAGAAATGTGTTAGTGGGTTTGTTGAATAATCTGCTCCCTAGCCTCCCATTAGGGAGTTTATAGATGGTGGTGTCCAAGAAATTCACTTCTGTTTCACTCACTTCAAAGGTGAACTTGATGGTAGTATGAAACGAGTTCATGGCCTCACAGAATGAGGATAGCACCTCTTGGGAGTGTGGCCAAATAGAAAAGATCAATGTATCTCCACCATATTAGAGGTAGTAGTCCTTGATTGGATAAGAATCGGCGTTCAACAAAATCCATAAAAACTATAGCGTAGTTTGGTGCCATTTTAGTGCCCATGGCCGTACCCTGTTTCTGTAGGTAATACTCTATAAAGTTGCTGTGAAGGTTTTCTTTGAATATGTTAATATATGTGATGGCAGGCGACAGGCCTCCTGTATGTTGTTCATTGAGGTAGCCACCAGCTATTAGTAAACTCTACTTCAAAGTCACCCAGGCTGTTCAGAGGGTAATAAATTGAACACTTAAATCAAACAACATTCTAGTCTGGACACAACTCTCTATTCAGGAATAGTAATGAGGACAGCAGTTATGGACCTTATCTTGAATGTCATGTCTGAAATTAGCTCAGGATTGACTGTGGACTGTGATCTTGCACGTGGAGAATCTGTCTATGAGTTGTCAGTGATTTATAAGGAGTAATGATAATAAGAATTGCAGCATAAAAACTCACATATTCTGATTCTTAATCAGTAATGATGTACAATTTAATGACTTTGTTTTATTACAGGAATAGTCTCCTTTGGCACTTAGAGGTAGAATTCAAAATCAAGCAGTATTTGTGATATTTCTGTTAATAATAAATATTTTTGCATGATTGTCAATTTAAGATATTGAGATGAGCATTGTAGGCCCCTTGGGCCTCTATTTTGACAATGGTGTTTATTTAATTTAGCCATCATGTGTCGTCTGCCGTGCGCTGTCTGCCATATAAACTTTCCATTCAAATGACATCTTCTTAATAACTAGAAGGCTCAGGGTACTGATAATGGGCCTGTAGTATGATGGGATAAAGGACTACCAATATGTTAATATGAATGACTGAGACTTACTTTCAAGGTCACAGGGAGCAACATGATGAAATGTTTAAGCAACTTCTTCTCAATAACCAAAAGGCCAAGGGTGCTGATATTAGGCATGTAGCATGGTTGTTGTTAGGAGTTAATATAAATGACCTTGACCCACTTTCAAGGTCAAAGGTGTGAAATATGTCAAAATCTTCAAACAACATCATCTCAATAACCAAAAGGTCCATAGTACTGAATTGGGCCTTTATAGCATGCTTGGATGAAGAGATACTAAGCCTATTATAATGAATGACCTTGACCCACTTTCAAGGTCAGGTAAAACGTGTTGAAATATTTTAACCACTTCTTCTCAATAACCAAAAGGTCTATGGTACTTATATTAGGCCTGTAGCATGCTGAGATGAAGGATTACCAAGTTTGTTTACTTTGACTTATTGTCAAGATCACAGGGGTCAAATGTGTTGAAATGCATAAGTAACCTCTTTTTACATACTAAAATGCGAAGGGTCTTGTTATTGGGCCTGTAGCATGCTTTTTCAACAAGCATTTTGTTCAGAGTAATGGCATTTGTGTAGTACATGTATAAAGAACATGATTTCAAATTGGCAGAAAATGTCTTGATGAATCTTCCAATGTCTTCTATGTAAGTTGCAGTGTAATTGAGCAATTTATTTTACACCTATTTGGCCTCTTTCATATATAGGTCTTTATAATCAGATGAACCTTAAGGCATGTGGGCCTCTTGTCTTAGAGTGATATTGTGTTATTGATGGTGAAACCTCATTTGCTTTTGTTCTGTAAATACTTCTGATTCATTAATACAACAGGTAATCCAAATTCTGAGATCAGTCTATCATAAAATACATTACATGCAGTGATTATTTCCACAGGAGAAGCTGTGTTTGTGATAGGTCATGCTTTGTTTGGTAGAGGATTTGACCTTGAACCAACTGTAACAAAGGGGATCGTGTCAAAGGTCATACATTTCAGAAACCAGCCGGTGATGATACAGGTATTGAATTAAAATTTGTCCAAATCAAGTTGGAAAAAATTTAATGTTCTAAAGGCGTAAAATGTCTCAAAATTTCAGAAGAAAGAATTCCTTGTTGAACTGTTGACTGGGCAACAGGTTTGCACTTACTATACTTTAACATAGAGTCAGGTAACCAAAAGTCATGCATGCAAGTGGTTTGAATGAAATTTTCTATTTTTCTGTTTTTCAGGGATAGACAAATAAAGAAATGTCAGGAGTGTTCTGTTCAACATTTTGTTTGTGATTTTTATTATTTCAAATATAGACATATTGTGTTTACAGACAACATGTGCGGTCCATGCTGGAGCCAGTGGTGGGGCAGTTGTAGACATGGAGGGTAGACTGGTGGGTCTTGTTGTCTGTAATGCCAGGTAATTATCAAGTTACTGTCTGCCATTCATAGTCAGAATAAAAAAATATATAAACTGTATATAATCTATATATAAAATCCAATATGCAACCATACTTAATATTTAGAATTATTAATGATATAAGTGATAGTTAATTTATCATGCATATATATGTTACTTATCAATAAAGTTAAGTGTAAACTATTTTATTTTAGAGACACATCAACAGGAGCCACTTATCCCCATATCAACATGAGTGTTCCCATAGCAACCATTAGTCCTATATTGGACTCTTATCTAGAGTCAGGGGGTGAGTATCTGTCCTCCCACACAAAGTCAGAATCTGAACTTGTACACATAGTCCCAGGGTTAGTATTTTTACTTGTACAGTCAGGTAATAAGTATTTGTACTTGTTCACAGGGTCAGGTCAGTGTAAGTATTTGTACTTGTTCACAGAGTCAGGTCAGTGTAAGTATTTGTACTTGTTCACAGAGTCAGGTCAGTGTAAGTATTTGTACTTGTTCACAGAGTCAGGTCAGTGTAAGTATTTGTACTTGTTCACAGAGTCAGGTCAGTGTAAGTATTTGTACTTGTTCACAGAGTCAGGTCAGTACAAGTATTTGTACTTGTTCACAGAGTCAGGTCAGTGTAAGTATTTGTACTTGTTCACAGAGTCAGGTCAGTTTAAGTATTTGTACTTGTTCACAGAGTCAGGTCAGTGTAAATATCTACTTGTTCACAGAGTCAGGTCAGTGTAAGTATTTTGGTACTTGTTCACAGAGTCAGGTCAATGTAAGTATTTGTACTTGTTCACAGAGTCACGGAGTGAGTATCTGTACTTAAACAAAGAGTCAGGTCAGTGTAAGTATTTGTACTTGTTCACAGAGTCAGGTCAGTGTAAGTATTTGTACTTGTTCACAGAGTCAGGTCAGTTTAAGTATTTGTACTTGTTCACAGAGTCAGGTCAGTTTAAGTATTTGTACTTGTTCACAGAGTCAGGTCAGTGTAAGTATTTGTACTTGTTCACAGAGTCAGGTCAGTGTAAATATCTACTTGTTCACAGAGTCAGGTCAGTGTAAGTATTTTGGTACTTGTTCACAGAGTCAGGTCAATGTAAGTATTTGTACTTGTTCACAGAGTCAGGCCAGTGTAAGTATTTGTACTCGTTCACAGAGTCAGGTCAGTGTAAGTATTTGTTCTTGTTCACAGAGTCATGGAGTGAGTATCTGTACTTAAACAAAGAGTCAGGTCAGTGTAAGTATTTGTTCTTGTTCGCAGAGTCAGGTCAGTGTAAGTATTTGTACTTGTTCACAGAGTCAGGTCAGTGTAAGTATTTGTACTTGTTCACAGAGTCAGGCCAGTGTAAGTATTTTTTACTTGTTCACAGAGTCAGGTCAGGTTAAGTATTTTGGTACTTGTTCACAGAGTCAGGTCAGTGTAAGTATTTGTACTTGTTCACAGAGTCAGGTCAGTGTAAGTATTTGTACTTGTTCGCAGAGTCAGGTCAGTGTAAGTATTTGTACTTGTTCACAGAGTCAGGTCAGTGTAAGTATTTGTACTTGTTCACAGAGTCAGGTCAGTGTAAGTATTTGTACTTAAACAAAGAGTCAGGTCAGTGTAAGTATTTTGGTACTTGTTCACAGAGTCAGGTCAGTGTAAGTATTTGTACTTGTTCACAGAGTCAGGTCAGTGTAAGTATTTGTACTTGTTCACAGAGTCAGGTCAGTGTAAGTATTTTGGTACTTGTTCAGAGAGTCAGGTCAGTGTAAGTATTTGTACTTGTTCACAGAGTCAGGTCAGTGTAAGTATTTGTACTTGTTCACAGAGTCAGGCCAGTGTAAGTATTTGTACTTGTTCACAGAGTCAGGTCAGTGTAAGTATTTGTTCTTGTTCACAGAGTCAGGCCAGTGTAAGTATTTGTACTTGTTCACAGAGTCAGGTCAGTGTAAGTATTTGTACTTGTTCACAGAGTCACAGGGTGAGTATTTAATGATGTAGAAAAAAAATGTCCAATTTGTATCAGGCTTATGTTAAAACTGAAGAAATTTAAACTATCAAAAAAAAACTTAACAGAAATCTGTATTCTGTCACATCTGCAGTGATTTGTTCTCAAAAATTGGGTCTTTGGACAGTTTCTTTTTTATATGGGTGGAGTCATGTGCAACATTGTCATCACTTAGATTTACTTATTTTATATTTTCATTAACAGATAAATCTTAATTTCTGTTAAAGATAAATCTTTTTCTGTTACAGATAAAATCTTGTTTTCTGTTAAAGATAAATCTTGTTTTTTGTTACAGATAAATCTTGTGTTCTGTTAAAGATAAATCTTGTGTTCTGTTACAGATAAATCTTGTGTTCTGTTAAAGATAAATTTTGTGTTCTGTTACAGATAAATCTGTCCTACGGGCCTTGTGTGTTAGAAATCCAGTTATACACAGCCTTTGGACCATGGAAAAATTTACACACGGTAATTATCGTCTTACAGTAAAGGGTGTAATCTTTAAGCTAACAAATTTATTCTTTTGTTAAGTCTATTATATATAATTATACTGCAGGCAAATGTCTATATAGCTAGGTATGATGTTCCCCAACAGTGAATAAGTTCATAATTATCGTTTTCATAATTAAAAAAACATTTCAGTTCTTCCCAATACTAAACCATATTGGGCTCCAAACAATTTCATTATGGTGACCTGATGAGGTTTTGTCGATATTTCATTTCAGATGCAGGAGTCTTCACCAGCAAATTATGATACACAAAACTGAGAAATCAGATGTGCTAAATACTTATGAACATTAAAGTACACGATGTATCTAAGTACACAAATGGAGAACTTTTGATGTGTATTATTTGGTCCTGATGTGAATACATGTGTTTGTGTGTATTATTTGGTCCTGATGTGAATACATGTGTTTGTGTGTATTATTTGGTCCTGATGTGAATACATGTGTTTGTGTGTATTATTTGGTCCTGATGTGAATACATGTGTTTGTGTGTATTATTTGGTCCTGATGTGAATACATGTGTTTGTGTGTATTACGTGCGGATTCATGTGTTTGTGTTTATTCAGTATGAATTTAATAGTGCTGTTTGAGATGAGCTAGAACTAGTGTAGATAAATGTGTTTTATTAATTCAGTATGTGTAATTACTGATAGACTTGTGTGAGATGAGCTAGAACTAGTGTACATAAATGTGTTTTATTAATTCAGTATGTGTAATTACTGATAGACTTGTGTGAGATGAGCTAGAACTAGTATGGATACATGTGTTGTAACGATCTTGATAGGACTTCCATCTATTGTAAATATATGTAATTGTTGATAGACTATGTGCTGCTTGATAGGAGTTTTATCTATGTTTACATGTGAATGTATTCATCTTGTACACGAGACGGGGAAAATATTACATGCTACCCAGTAATGGAATTTTCTGTCCTGTACGATCTTTCTATGCAATATTTGGTGCCAAGTGACGTCAAAACTAAAATGTCTTATTCAATGGTCATTCTGATGCACAACCACAAAGGGACGTAACCTGATAGAATCGGAGAGCTTGGAAATGCAAGTAGCTGATGAGAAAGGTTCATGCAGCTTTTTACCACAACATGTACAAGAAAAAGAATCTGTTACCAATATATGTTTGAGAACAACTATTTAAGGCTAAGGCTGACATTCTGTAACACTTTTTGAACAGAATGTCAGTCCTCAGCCATGATAAATCATCTTTGAACACAAACAGGTAACAAATTCTGTTAATCCAGTATGAGTGCATGTGTGTAGAACTTTGCGTATTTATCCAGCTTGTGTCTGGTAATAATAAGCCCACCTCCTGAAGTCAGGTGCGTAGAACTTTGTGTATTTATCAAGTATAAAGCTTGTGTCTGGTAATAATAAGCTTACCTCCTGAAGTCAGGTGTGTAGAACTTTGTGTATCTATCCAGCTTGTGTCTGGTAATGATAAGCCCACCTCCTGAAGTCAGGTGTGTAGAACTTTGTGTATTTATCCAGCTTGTGTCTGGTAATAATAAGCCCATCTCCTGAAGTCAGGTGTGTAGAACTTTGTGTATTTATCCAGCTTGTGTCTGGTAATAATAAGCCCATCTCCTGAAGTCAGGTGTGTAGAACTTTGTGTATTTATCCAGCTTGTGTCTGGTAATAATAAGCCCACCTCCTGAAGTCAGGTGTGTAGAACTTTGTGTATTTATCCAGCTTGTGTCTGGTAATAATAAGCCCACCTCCTGAAGTCAGGTGTGTAGAACTTTGTGTATTTATCCAGCTTGTGTCTGGTAATAATAAGCCCACCTCCTGAAATCAGGTGTGTAGAACTTTGTGTATTTATCCAGTATAAAGCTTGTGTCTGGTAATAATAAGCCCATCTCCTGAAGTCAGGTGTGTAGAACTTTGTGTATTTATCCAGCTTGTGTCTGGTAATAATAAGCCCACCTCCTGAAGTCAGGTGTGTAGAATTTTGTGTATTTATCCAGCTTGTGTCTGGTAATGATAAGCCTACCTCCTGAAGTCAGGTGTGTAGAACTTTGTGTATTTATCCAGCTTGTGTCTGGTAATAATAAGCCCACCTCCTGAAATCAGGTGTGTAGAACTTTGTGTATTTATCCAGTATAAAGCTTGTGTCTGGTAATAATAAGCCCATCTCCTGAAGTCAGGTGTGTAGAATTTTGTGTATTTATCCAGTATAAAGCTTGTGTCTGGTAATAATAAGCCCACCTCCTGAAGTCAGGTGTGTAGAACTTTTTGTATTTATCCAGTATAAAGCTTGTGTCTGGTAATAATAAGCCCATCTCCTGAAGTCAGGTGTGTAGAACTTTGTGTATTTATCCAGTATAAAGCTTGTGTCTGGTAATAATAAGCCCACCTCCTGAAGTCAGGTGTGTAGAACTTTGTGTATTTATCCAGTATAAAGCTTGTGTCTGGTAATAATAAGCCCACCTCCTGAAGTCAGGTGTGTAGAACTTTGTGTATTTATCCAGTATAAAGCTTGTGTCTGGTAATAATAAGCCCACCTCCTGAAGTCAGGTGTGTAGAACTTTGTGTATTTATCCAGCTTGTGTCTGGTAATAATAAGCCCATCTCCTGAAGTCAGGTGTGTAGAACTTTGTGTATTTATCCAGTATAAAGCTTGTGTCTGGTAATAATAAGCCCATCTCCTGAAGTCAGGTGTGTAGAACTTTGTGTATTTATCCAGCTTGTGTCTGGTAATAATAAGCCCACCTCCTGAAGTCAGGTGTGTAGAACTTTGTGTATTTATCCAGCTTGTGTCTGGTAATAATAAGCCCATCTCCTGAAGTCAGGTGTGTAGAACTTTGTGTATCTATCCAGCTTGTGTCTGGTAATAATAAGCCCATCTCCTGAAGTCAGGTGTGTAGAACTTTGTGTATTTATCCAGCATAAAGCTTGTGTCTGGTAATAATAAGCCCACCTCCCGAAGTCAGGTGTGTAGAATTTTGTGTATTTATCCAGCTTGTGTCTGGTAATAATAAGCCCACCTCCTGAAGTCAGGTGTGTAGAACTTTGTGTATTCATCCAGTATAAAGCTTGTGTCTGGTAATAATAAGACTACCTCCTGAAGTCAGGTGTGTAAAACTTTGTGTATTTATCCAGTATAAAGCTTGTGTCTGGTAATAATAAGCCCATCTCCTGAAGTCAGGTGTGTAGAACTTTGTGTATTTATCCAGCTTGTGTCTGGTAATAATAAGACTACCTCCTGAAGTCAGGTGTGTAGAACTTTGTGTATTTATCCAGCTTGTGTCTGGTAATAATAAGCCCACCTCCTGAAGTCAGGTGTGTAAAACTTAGTGTATTTATCCAGCTTGTGTCTGGTAATGATAAGCCCATCTCCTGAAGTCAGGTTTGTAGAACTTTGTGTATTTATCCAGCATAAAGCTTGTGTCTGGTAATAATAAGCCCACCTCCTGAAGTCAGGTGTGTAGAACTTTGTGTATTTATCCAGCTTGTGTCTGGTAGGTGTGGCTCACTGGGCTCATTGTTGAAAATGAATATTTATTTTTGTGGAATTTTCAACTAAATAAAAACACTGCAACAAATCAATCCATTTTACTGTAACTTTTAATGTCTACATTTGATATAGAACTTAAGATTCAATAAATACACATATATGCAACAATGGTCAACAAACGAAAAAAAAACATTTCTGTTGATATTTGTTAAAAGCTACTTTTGGAGAAATACCAGGTAATTCTAACACATAAACAAGTCAATCTTCAACAAAAATATGCACCTTCCTACATACTCCAATACACCTTGCAGTTAAAAGCCAAGACCACTCGGATGGAAGGGCACTTAGCTTTTAGTTACCAATTAAATATAACAATGCAGAACTTAGAAGAGCAGAAAATTATCTCACAGGACCTGGATGTGAAATGAATTTCTTGAAGGAATCCTGGAACCATCAATCTGATCCCAGATCAGGAACTGATACTACCTGGTATATATAGCCAAATGCACCAACAGACATTTGATTTGGTACAAGTTATTTTATTTTTCCATTTTCATGATGGATTAACATAAAAAAAATTAACATCAAGAAAAGGTGGGCGAATCGTAAGGATTATATTACTTAATATGTACTGGTATGCACTATATATACATCTGCTATAATTGTCTTTCTGACAAAATGACTTGAAAGTAGCAATAAACTTTCCAATAACTAAAAATTAGAATTATTATAGACTTTTTTAGTGAGGAGGTGAACAAGTGTTAATGCTAAAAGACTGCGGATTCCTCTGTACCAGGATCATTCACAGGCACTTTCCAGAACATTAATGAAATGAAGTGATGATATATTCATATACTTCAAGTTATTAAGACTGAAGTGGTATTTACTGCAAATTCAATGAAATTCATTTTAGATTTTGAAATACAACTTATGCAGATTTTCATAATAACATCTGAAAGTGCCATTTTAGATTTAGACTCCAAAATAATAACTGAAGTCCTGACGATAAACTGGACTTTCAAGCCAAGTTTCTGATTATTTCACTTTATACGTGGAAGCAGAATCGGAGTTGAATTCAAAATGGTTTTCAAAATGGCTACCAAGGCAGCCATATCCGATTAAAACTTCAAAGTATCAATTTGATTGGTCAGGATCATATATAGGTCATTCATGACTCTCCCATAAATAACAAGATTATAAAATTGTTAACATACAACACAGAAGAGGAATAGCAACAGCACACAAAATGTGCTTGAAAATACATAGAACAATTTCAGGTGGGCATTTTAACGACTGAATACCAAGTTTACAACTCGCAAACATATTTATGGTAGACAATTATGACTGGTACAATACCTGGAAGAACAAAATATAAATAAAGGTCACTAAAAATACCCTCTAAGGGGCCTCTCAATAAATTAAGTCTATTAAAAGGTCTCTTACTTATCCTGAATGGGGCAGCTCTCTACACATTCAACCTGTATGACAGCAAACTGTACATATAAAAAGGTTACAGGATACTGAAATGTATCATGATCATCTTTTGTGACAGTTCAAAACTTTCTTATGAACAGTAAGTACATACAATTGAAACAATTAAAACTTTCCCCAACTTTAACAACTTTGAATAGTTAAAAAAAAAAACAAAAGACAAAAAAAATCTGCTTCAGTCATGATCTTGATTCTATGGACTTAATAACATTCTGATGGCATTTGCTTTGCTACTCCAGGAGATTCAGTCACCAGGACGAACCTACTGGAGAAGATGGATCTCTGCCAGTGTGCTTTAATACAGTGTAAGGAAAGACAATGCTGGCAGGGACTGATATGGATCATGACTGAAGTTATTGTAGTATGAATAAAAGAAATGGCACTAAGGGAGGGAAGGCAATCATAACAAGGGCATTAAAAGGGCATTAAATATATTAACAGCAATGCTAAAATCTAACACTAACAATTTTCACATGATTTCTAACATAGTACCAGCTATACATACAATTCCTGTACCTTGACAAATGAAAATGAACTTCATGAAACCTCAACATGTGAACATGAGGAAATGTACCTCAACATTACAATATCATTCAAAACATACAAACTATCGGCAAAAGTCTACATTTTTGTTGATATTTCATTTTATAACAAAAGGCAACATTCCATCTGAAACAACTGAAATATGAACTTTTGAAAACTATGAAAGCAATATACCAAGAATATCTTTTCCAATCAGAATATCAGTTGTGATGAATGCTAGTACAGGTTTAACATCTCCCACATCAACATTACTCTCTAAACCATTAATGATCTTGTACATTTTAACGCTTTTGTTTGTTCCTTTCAATCGTCCAGTACTTGAATGGTTTTAATGGTCTGAAACAGTAGTTTTAATGGTTTTTATATTCCTTTTAATAGTTTTAATATTTCTGTAAAATTTTAATGATTATGTTCCTGTTAAGTTTTAAAGTTTTTCTTCTTTTTTTTTTTCAATTTTCAACACAAAAATTGGAACCTCATTCAATCTCAGCTTATTTCATGCAATGCTAACATAGAAACAAAATTGATTTCATGATCTTTCAAAACATGAATATATCACAATTGACACTCTCATCTTGAAATCATACCTGTTGACTAACAGACAATTAAGCCACCTTAATGGTAAAGAAAACATTGTCAGCCATGAAGTATTTAATCCTGTACAGCCACCACATTGTAGTGATGAAGGAAACAAAATATACTGTCAGAGATTTCAGGTCTAAAAAAAGTATACTGTCAGAGAACCAAAGATTTCAGGTCTAAAAAACATATACTGTCAGAGAACCAGAGATTTCAGGTCTAAAAAACATATACTGTCAGAGAACCAGAGATTTCAGGTCTAAACAACATATACTGTCAGAGAACCAGAGATTCCAGGTCTAAAAAACATATACTGTCAGAGAACCAGAGATTTCAGGTCTAAAAAACATATACTGTCAGAGAACCAGAGATTTCAGGTCTAAAAAACATATACTGTCAGAGAACCAGAGATTCCAGGTCTAAAAAACATATACTGTCAGAGAACCAGAGATTTCAGGTCTAAAAAACATATACTGTCAGAGAACCAGAGATTTCAGGTCTAAAAAACATATACTGTCAGAGAACCAGAGATTTCAGGTCTAAAAAACATATACTGTCAGAGAACCAGAGATTTCAGGTCTAAAAAACATATACTGTCAGAGAACCAGAGATTTCAGGTATAAAAACAAGGTATACTACTAGAGGTTTCAGTTCCTATACATAACATTGGTCAGGATTACACAGGGTTAATTTGAACAGTTTCCTGGTCTAGATGTTTTGTTATTTCAAACGTCTGATATTTAAGCTTGTTGACCTTACTAAAACGTAAGACAAGAGACACAAATTTTAAACAAAAAAAATCTGGATGAAATTTATCCTGTATGAATGAAGACCAACTACAAAATGACTAGGTGATGCATATTATAAATACTTCATTACTGGTAGACTAAATAATGCTAGAACATACTCACATTTGTACCCGTAAAATTTTCACCATAAACCTTCACTAAACGTTGCATGTATAATTAAATGAATGATGACATAAATATGGTTTTCCACATGTCTTCCTTTCATAAGCAAAAATGCTTCTTATTTGAATTTTTATCATCTGTAGGATGTGAGTATACGAGCCAAGAAGTACCACAAATGCCACCAGGAGGCACTTTTCAAGATATGGACAATGAGGAGAAATGAATATGCAATATTTGATCACTCCAAAGGGAATGTTTTAAACTTTAATCCATTACATACTGGTGTGTCACCTCGAGTCTGAAGAGTCGCTATCTGATTCTGCCTCCGAGGAAGATGAAATTGCACCCCTATATGAAAATATTCTTGCATCATATGTATTAGAAGGCTGTAATCGATGTCGGTAGGATATTTTTGGAATATCTGTCCTGCCTGATAACATATCTTGATAAAAACTTGGAGGATTAGGCTTTGGCCCTCCGATTACATTGGAAGCCACGGTTGGTCGCCCTGGTAGTTTTCGTGGAGTTGAAAATCCATATGGTTTCGCATTAAGGGAGTTGAGCTCCTTGGTAGCTGTCACTTTTTTAGGTAGAGGAGGCTTACCATCGTTCACTATCACTTTGTTTTCTTTTGCCTCTGCATCAACATATTCCTGTTTGTCACTCTTCCCATTTTCAATAGTCTGTTTGTTACCTTGGTCTGCACCAGGTTTAGGTGACCTTTTACCTTTGCCTGTCAAAGGTCGTAAACGTCTGTCACCATTATTGTTGGTATTTACAGGCGTCTTTGAACCAGTAGGTGTTTTTGAACTAGAACTTGTCCCTGTTGGAGTTTTTGTACCAAATAATTTGTCTGATGTACTCCTACGAATTCTTGCCTGCATTTTCTTTGAGACACCTGAAGTACTGTTTGGAACAGAACCTGATCCACTCTCTAATTTTATACCGGGATTTGAACTTGTGCCACTTGGCGTGCCAGCCTTTTTCCGCATCATAATGACAGGCGCTTTATTGTTGGGTATAACATTAGCCCCATTTTTGTCCATCCTTGAGGATGTTGGGGCAGATGCTGTGCTGTAGTTTCTCGATCCATCATTATTGTTACCATTTATATTGGTTCTTAAATCAACAGGGACACCATTACAACGTGCACCATTGCTATGAATACTGTTTGATATTCCGTTTTTGCCATAATCTGTTGGTTTTCGAGTCCGATTCCATGCCAACTTTTTGTTTTTTCTCCTACGAGGTATATCATCATCTGAAGAAGAATCACTTGATTCATCTGATTCAGACTCTGATGATGAATCAGATTCCACGGCACTTGATCGGAAAAAAGTATTTCTTACAGGAGCTGGTGGCTTTTTTCTTCTATATTCCATCATACGCTTAGCAGTATTTTTCAAAAATTCAGCATCACACTAAAAACATAACAAGATAAATAGGAATTCCTACAGGCAATATAAGAAAATGTTATCTTCAAATAGTGCTATACATACTTTAATATAGAATATTTAATAACAATCACAAAATGGAACTCTTCTTTTCAGAAATTACCTCCCTTCTTCATTTTGTATGTCACCATTTAGACATTTTCCTTAAATCTGATAAGAAAAGTTTACATATGATTATAATAACCAGGACCAAATGAAGTCGAGATTTCAGAAATTTGATCTACTTGGAAATATTTTTTTACGAAATACAAAACCTTAAACTGACAACATTTCTACAAATGATGGACTCACAATTTTGAGGACTCCTTCAGACTTGATGATGAGATCTTCTATGTCAGCTTTCCAACCAACCATCTCTGTGAAGTTCTGCATGCTCTTGATCAGGTCACCTATTTTCATTACAGCATCTCAATATGTTAAAGAGTTCACACTACACAGATTTTATCCTACCTATTAGTATTACAGCATCTCAATATGTTAAAGAGTTCATGCTACACAGAATTCCTCATTGCATTTTGGAAAGTACATTTTAAATGTGATAAAATTCACATTCAACAGTTTCATGTTTCATCAATATGATAAGGATTTGGCTTTCACAACCATTTTATGTTCCCACCAAATTGCAGGGACATATATAACCCTGGTCTGTCTTGCTTGAAAAACCTATAAAAATACTTTAATCATATCTATTCTATTGTAATGTAACATCAAGTTTTATAATGATTATTTTTGGTCGGCATTGGAGTTTGGGCATTATTATTATTTTTTTTTCAGGAGGGTTGGGTGAGGTTGGGTGAGGTGGGGTGTGGGCATTTTCCTAGTCTATTAACAAGGTTTCCTAGCTCATATTACAATAGCACAATACCACCTGTAACATTTCATAAATGTTTACCTTCAGCTACTATGTCCTTGGCACGTTTACTATGTCTAAATGGTCCTACAGCCTCCATGTTGAACAGAACTCTAGGTACTGTCCATCTGACTGTGTCCACAATACCAGCAAATGGCTGGACCTGTCAACATAAACAATATTTTTATTATCTTTATATCTCCATTAGTTAAAATGTAATAAAACACTGGTCAGTGTGAGTTCACAATTACTTCTCTCCCAGGTCAGTAAACATAACTATAAATAGACTGGTCAGTGTGATTTCACAATTACTTATCTCCCTGGTCAGTAGACATAACTATAAATAGACTGGTCAGTGTGAGTTCACAATTACTTCTCTCCCAGGTCAGTAAACATAACTACAAATAGACTGGTCAGTGTGATTTCACAATTACTTATCTCCTAGATCAGTAGACATAACTATAAATAGACTGGTCAGTGTGAGTTCACAATTACTTATCTCTTAGATCAGTAAACATAACTATAAATAGACTGGTCAGTGTGAGTTCACAATTACTTATCTCCCTGGTCAGTAGACATTATTATAAATAGACTGGTCAGTGTAATTTCACAATTACTTATCTCCTAGATCAGTAAACATAACTATAAATAGACTGGTCAGTGTGAGTTCACAATTACTTATCTCCCTGGTCAGTAGACATAACTATAAATAGACTGGTCAGTGTGAGTTCACAATTACTTATCTCCCTGGTCAGTAGACATAACTATAAATAGACTGGCCAGTGTGAGTTCACAATTACTTATCTCCTAGATCAGTAGACGTAACTATAAATAGACTGGTCAGTGTGAGTTCACAATTACTTATATCCCAGGACAGTAAACATAACTATAAATAGACTGGTCAGTGTGAGTTCACAATTACTTATCTCCCTGGTCAGTAGACACAACTATAAATAGACTGGTCAGTGTGATTTCACAATTACTTATCTCCCTGGTCAGTAGACATAACTATAAATAGACTGGTCAGTGTGAGTTCACAATTACTTAATATCCCAGGTCAGTAAACATAACTATAAATAGACTGGTCAGTGTGAGTTCACAATTACTTCTCTCCGAGGTCAGTAAACATAACTATAAACAGACTGGTCAGTGTGAGTTCACAATTACTTATCTCCCAGGTCAGTAGATATAACTATAATAGACTGGTCAGTGTGATTTCACAATTACTTATCTCTAGAGAAGTGACTATGCATAGATCATTTGGTTTGGTTTGACCCTCACTGTCCTCCAGAAAGCTTCTCTGAGAACAACTAAAATGGTCAGTATGGCTAAGGCTGTGTACCATTTCACAAATTTTGACACTATAATGATTAGATTAGTCAGTGGCTTTCAATGCTGTAAGTGAGTGTTTATCCTCACTGACTTTCAGAGCATTTCTTTATAGCAGTCTTGGTGTTCTGATCCTCAATGACAAGAAGTATGTTTATACTGTGACCTTCACTGACCCAAAGCTGGCAATGAGGTTTTGACCCTCACTGCCACTTAGGGCTGTAAGTGTAGTTTGACCCTTATTGACCCTCACAGTTCTAAGTGTAGTTTGACCCTTATTGACCCTCCTTGCCTTAAGTGTAGTTTGACCCTTATTCACCCTCGTCGCTGTAAGTGTAGTTTGACCCTTATTCATCCTCGTCTCTGTAAGTGTTGTTTGACCCTTATTCACCCTCGTTGCTGTAAGTGTAGTTTGACCCTTATTGACCCTCGTTGCCTTAAGTGTAGTTTGACCCTTATTGACCCTCGTCTCTGTTAGTGTAGTTTGACCCTTATTGACCCTTGTCTCTGTAAGTGTAGTTTGACCCTTATTGACCCTCGTCTCTGTAAGTGTAGTTTGACCCTTATTGACCCTCGTTGCCTTAAGTGTAGTTTGACCCTTATTGATCCTCGTTATCTGTAAGTGTAGTTTGACCCTTATTGACCCTCATCTCTGTAAGTATAGTTTGACCCTTATTGACCCTCGTTGCCTTAAGTGTAGTTTGACCCTTATTGACCCTTGTCTCTGTATGTGTAGTTTGACCCTTATTGACCCTCGTCTCTGTAAGTGTAGTTTGACCCTTATTCACCCTCGTTGCTGTAAGTGTAGTTTGACCCTTATTCACCCTCATCACTGTAAGTGTAGTTTGATCCTTATTGACCCTCGTCGCTGTAAGTGTAGTTAGATCCTTATTGACCCTCGTTGCCTTAAGTGTAGTTTGACCTTTATTGACCCTCGTCGCTGTAAGTGTAGTTTGACCCTTATTGACCCTCGTCGCTGTAAGTGTAGTTTGACCCTTATTCACCCTCATTGCTGTAAGTTTAGTTAGATCCTTATTGACCCTCGTCTCTGTAAGTGTAGTTTGATCTTTATCCACCCTCATCGCTGTAAGTGTAGTTTGACCCTTATTGACCCTCGTCACTGTAAGTGTAGTTTGACCCTTATTGACCCTCGTCGCTGTAAGTGTAGTTAGATCCTTATTGACCCTCGTTGCCTTAAGTGTAGTTTGACCTTTATTGACCCTCGTCTCTGTAAGTGTAGTTTGACCCTTATTGACCCTCGTCTCTGTAAGTGTAGTTTGACCCTTATTGACCCTCGTCTCTGTAAGTGTAGTTTGACCCTTATTCACCCTCGTCTCTGTAAGTGTAGTTTGACCCTTATTCACCCTCGTCTCTGTAAGTGTAGTTAGATCCTTATTGACCGCCGTTGCCTTAAGTGTAGTTTGACCTTTATCCACCCTCATCGCTGTAAGTGTAGTTTAACCCTTATTGATCCTCGCCCCTGTAAGTGTAGTTTGACCCTTATTCACCATTGTCGCTGTAAGTGTAGCTTGACCCTTATTGACCCTCATCGCTGTAAGTGTAGTTTGACCCTTATTGACCCTCATTGCTGTAAGTGTAGTTTGACCCCCACTGTTCTCAGTGTAGTTTGACGTTATACTTACCCCTAAAGATGTCCCCATTATAATGACTAGATCAGCTTGTAACATATCCTTCAGATAGAAGTAGAATCGTTTGGGTAAATCCTCACCAAAGAACACAATATCTGGTTTAACGATTCCCTATAAAGAATTATCAAAACATCCTGTCAAATGGCAAATAAACAAAAAATTAGCAGATATGGATGCATAGCAAACAGTGTACCGATAACTTAACTATTATGAAACTTCAAAAAATAAATTCAATTTCATCTCTGCAATAAAATGGATCTTAAATCATAGAGATTTTGATTTTTCTGTCAACAGTTGATGTATACAGTATAATTATGTACAAAAACAAGAAAAAATAGTTTGACAAATTTAATTAAAACTTTCAACATGACAAGTCAGATTGATTTGCCTCCGAGTTCAGACATAGCCATCAATCAGATAACATGCTGATATTGTGAACAAAACACTTCACCACACTAATATAAATTACAGTCTAAATGAGCCAACATAATGCCAATGATGTTAATTAAATGAATAACATTGCATCCTGATGGTAGTTGTTATCAATATTTGATTATCTTAAATCTTCAACTCTAATCAATAGGGGCCCATCGAGGGGGCAATTAACGTAGGATTTTAGGGGTAGTCAGAGATCCGTAAATGTATTCAATCCAAATTTTAACCACTGAAAATGAAGTGAAAAGTTAGGAAAGTTCACTTCTGTCTGTTGGAAGACTTACCGGACAGCCACGCCTCTTACACAAGGGTAGCTTGTCCTGAAACACAGGTTCCTGTAAACACAAAATGATAGAATATTATTAGTTTTTTTTTTACCAGGGAAAACAATACATTTACCATCACATCTAACAAATACAGGCTTCTTTAAAACAATAGTAACAATATAATATACAATAATATACAATAGTATACAATATAACAGGAGAAACCTTTTCCATGGTTAACATGTACTGAAATACCACACCATATGGGAAACAAGCACTACTGATCACAAGCTCCTGAGAAAACTAACACTTGTAATACAATGAAAAGTATACAATTACACATCGGAAACCTTTCCTTCAACAAAGGCTCCTGTAAAACTGTTCTATAGGAAACCTCACCTATAATACAGACTTAACCTATCCTGTAGGAAGCCTCACCTATAATACAGACTCCTGTTAACCTATCATGTAGGAAACCTCACCTATAATACAGGCTCCTGTTAACCTATCATGTAGGAAGCCTCACCTATAATACAGGCTCCCGTGAACCTATCCTGAAGGAAACCTCACCTATAATACAGGCTCCTGTTAACCTATCCTGTAGGAAACCTCACCTATAATAGACTCCTGTTAACCTATCATGTAGGAAACCTCACCTATAATACAGGCTCCTGTTAACCTATCATGTAGGAAACCTCACCTATAATACAGGCTCCTGCTAACCTATCATGTAGAAAACCTCACCTATAATACAGGCTCCTGTTAACCTATCCTGTAGGAAACCTCACCTATAATACAGGCTCCTGTTAAAGTGTACATTTAATGGCAACTTTATTTTACATATAAATATTGTCATGTTAAGCGAAATAAATGTCGAAAACCCTAACAAAATCCGTTACAGCGTTGCCGCGATATCGCTGTTTAAACTTCCCGGTTTGCACCTGTCACACACAAGCGATTAGCCTCAACACCCGGATTTCTGCCTGGATTAGCGTGACGTCATAAGTGTGAAACAATTATCATTTAGAAAACCTCACCTGTACTAGAGGCTCCAGTTAACCTATCATGTTGGAAACCTCACCTGTACTACAGGCTCCAGTTAACCTATCATGTAGGAAACCTCACCTGTACTACAGGCTCCTGTTAACCTATCATGTAGGAAACCTCACCTATAATACAGGCTCCTGTTAACATATCATGTAGGAAACCTCACCTGTACTACAGGCTCCTGATAACCTATCATGTAGGAAACCTCACCTGTACTACAGGCTCCTGTGAACCTATCCTGTAGGAAACCTCACCTGTACTACAGGCTCCTGTGAACCTATCATATAGGAAGCCTTCCTTATAATACAGGCTCCTATTAATCTATCATGTAGGAAACCTCACCTGTACTACAGGCTCCTGTTAACCTATCCTGTAGGAAACCTCACCTATACTACAGACTCCTGTGAACCTATCCTGTAGGAAACCTCACCTGTACTACAGGCTCCTGTGAACCTATCATATAGGAAGCCTTCCTTATAATACAGGTTCCTATTAATCTATCATTCTGATTCTGATTTGGCTGGTATTATAATGCTCTTATTGGTTTGATCTGATATCTTAACAACTTAACCTTTACCTTGACCACTGAACCTTCATGTAGATAACCACAAATTGTGCAGGTAGCAGATGCAAATGTCCCATGGGCCTCCACAAGTTTCTCAGCTGGTAACCCTGCCACTGCAAATATAATTAATTAAATAGATATCTAATTTCAATACAAGGCCATATTAAAATCAACATTCAAACTAAGGCTGCATTAAAAGTGGGCCAATAATGTATTTTCCAGATTACTTCATCAATTCTTTAGTGATGCATTTACAAAAGGGCTAAAGATATATTTACTGTATAACACCCATCAGTTCTTTAATCAAAAAGACTATAGATCTCAGTGACTTAAAATTCATGTCAGAAAAAAAAATGCACAAATACTTCAAATCAGGTAAAATCAGTACAAAATTAGGTCATAGTGATCTTGAATCCTGTTTATATATATATATATATAGTCAACCCTGTCTAAGAGGTCACTCTAGGGAACAGGGGAAAATGGCCTAACACAGATGGCTTTTATATAGAGGTTCAGTTATTATGCATTACCATTAAATGAACGGGAAATGGACTTTACAGACAGGTGATCTTTATAAAGAGGTGCTGTTACTATGAATGGCATTACACAGAGAACAAAAAAAATGACCTTTATAGAAAAGTGACCTTTGTATACAGGTAATCTTAAGACAGGTTTTACTGTATAGCAAAAGTCAGTTTTTATCTCCAACATTTAGCTTCAAATATTTTGGAATATAGATTACAGTAATTTGGATATCGAAGATTCATATTCTAAATAAGTTAAATAGATGACCTTGAAATATTACTGATCAGAAATGGCAGGTAATGTGATTATCAAACCATTTTATCTCCTAGTTTTACAGAGATTTAAATAGAACAACTGACACACTTTACTTGACCCAAATCTAGTTTTACCACCTTTTGTACCAATATGCATCTCTACATAAATCAAATAACTGTTTACACAACAGTAGGTTAACAGAGACAGACCAAACAATAGGTCTAACCTACTCTGAAGTGTATTGTGTCATGTAGAAACATTTAGTAAATGAACTTGTCTGGCAAATCTCCATCAACCTGTAATCTGATCAGGCATCAGACCTTGCTGTCAAAGTTCTACTACAGCTGACATTAATAGGAATATTCTCCCTCAATTTCACACAAAAATACAGTTGTTTTATCAGTAGGTATAAAGAAACATACTTTATTGTAGACTTATAATCAATTCTATAAATATTAGAAAAAACACATAAATGAGAAACAGACTGAATAACTGTTCACCAGATGTTAAATTGTCAACAGTTATGTAATCTTAGATCAGCAATCTACAGCAATCTATACCTAAGTCATTTTCAGCATACTTGCCAACATTCTACTAGGTATATCTCCCAAAATGAAAAATTTGAACTTTATCAAAGTAATGTTTATCTAGATCTCGTATTCATTAACTAATAAATGAAAAAAAAAAATGTATTCAGTCATACAGTCAAACCTGTTAACAGGACAAATATCTATAGTCTGGCTGTTTTGTAGAATTATACTCAGTCAAACCTGTTAACAGGACAAATATCTATAGTCTGGCTGTTTTGTAGAATTATACTCAGTCAAACCTGTTAATAGGACAAATATCTATAGTCTGGCTGTTTTGTAGAATTATACTCAGTCAAACCTGTTAACAGGACAAATATCTATAGTCTGGCTGTTTTGTAGAATTATACTTAGTCAAATCTGTTAACAGGACAAATATCTATAGTCTGGCTGTTTTGTAGAATTATACTCAGTCAAACCTGTTGACAGGACAAATATCTATAGTCTGGCTGTTTTGTAGAATTATACTCAGTCAAACCTGTTAACAGGACAAATATCTATAGTCTGGCTGTTTTGTAGAATTATACTCAGTCAAACCTGTTAACAGGACAAATATCTATAGTCTGGCTGTTTTGTAGAATTATACTCAGTCAAACCTGTTAACAGGACAAATATCTATAGTCTGGCTGTTTTGTAGAATTATACTCAGTCAAACCTGTTAACAGGACAAATATCTATAGTCTGGCTGTTTTGTAGAATTATACTCAGTCAAACCTGTTAACAGGACAAATATCTATAGTCTGGCTGTTTTGTAGAATTATATAAACCCGTTAACAGGACAAATATCTATAGTCTGGCTGTTTTGTAGAATTATAATCAGTCAAATCTGTTAACAGGACAAATATCTATAGTCTGGCTGTTTTGTAGAATTATACTCAGTCAAACCTGTTAACAGGACAAATATCTATAGTCTGGCTGTTTTGTAGAATTATACTTTATCATTATCTTGTAATAAGCTCATCACTGACTTTGAATCAACGGTACTGGTAATGTGTTTGCTCCAAAGGTCTTGTAATAAGCCCACCCACAACACTGAATCAGAAGTTATATGTTAGTTGCCAGAGGTCCTGTAATAAGCCCACCCACGACATTGAATAAGAGGTTATATGTTAGTCGCCAGAGGTCCTTTAATAAGCCCACCTCCTGATATTGAGTCATCGGTAACATGTTCACCTCCTCAACTGATAGCAGGATAAATACATAAATGAATGTTGACAGATTTCTTTCTCCTAACAAGAGGATAGACATAGTAAGATAAAGCTGATATGAAACTCTGGTTCCTGAAAACCCACCTACAATATAGTCCAACATCAACACAAACATTTAAATCCTAATCTGTGTACTGGATAAGTCAACAATAAAACCAAGGAATCAACACATTATGTCTATTATGAAGTCAAGGGGTGGATTAATACAAAGAATCAAATAGCATTTGTTGGTAATTCTATTGAATGAATAGGCCTAATACCAGACATGGGCTTATTACCCAACTGATATGTTAACCTATTCTTTGTCTATTGTCAATGTTCTTACCTTTCATTGGATTTATTTTCCACTATTTTTAAGGAAAGAATCAAATTGCCAAAAATAGATACCATAAAAACGGTTTTCTTTAGCTTTAAGCTATTGAGAATTATTTTTTTACAGTATTCAGGGTAAAGCTGGCTTGAGATGTACTATATTTTTCCTCCTATAAACCGAAAACCAAGTATAAGTCACAGGGCTAGTTTTTAGCGATTTTCACGGTGTCATACATGTATAAGCCTGGTTGGAGGCTTCTGTCATGAACGCAGGTACATCTATTTGTTATTGTGAATGGTGAGTGAATTTGTCACATGTGCATGTGTGTGTACGGGTGAGGGAGGACGGGTAGCGCTGGACGGGACAGGTGAGACGAGTGGCCATTGTTTGGAGCAGTTGTTTGACCATGTTGTGATTATTTTCCAGTACATAATTCGTGTGTGATGAAGCCCGGATATCTGACTGAGGTAAGTATTCTTTTTGTCTTTCATAATTTGTTGTTTTAGTTGGCTATTTCGTGCCATATTTTATTTGTCCCTATTGCCGGTAATCCAATCTATCCAGTTTATCTATGGAAGCCCTGAGTTGTAGTTGTATTTACCTGTGCTAGGGTTGAGTGCATGTAGGTGTAAAAAGTACGGAGCCACTCATTAGCATATATGGTTGCAGTAATACCTTCATTTTGGCATTATTATTTAAAGAAAACGGTCATGCATCCTAGAATTGAATATGTTTGTAGGGGTATATGTACAATTAGGTTTATTAATTATAAAGGGAAGTAGAATTGATGGTAAATTATAAAGTTAATTAAGGAATGACTTAGTTGGATTAAAGTATGGATGTGTATGATTGTTTATGATATTTTGTTCATGTTTATTATAGCTTCACACGACGGGCAGACAACTGCGTTATGCTACCCAGAGCCTGCAAAGAATGTGACAGACTGGTATGCAACGGGACCGGCTAGTATTGCAACAGCAACCACGCGGGACACGGACAGATACCAGGACGTAGAGACAAGACTTCAGGTGGGCTATTCATTCAGTGCTGGTGTTGGGGATCATGTTCTTAGATAGATTGCTGATATGCATATGACATGCTGAAATTGTGTTAGCCATGGGCTACATTTTGTATACACATCGTGCACCGTCTCGTGCTTGTGGACGAAGAGTCGGGACCGGTCAAAATAACTTGTTCCTTGAGTTTGAACGGATTTCCTCGGAGAAAGGTGACAAGACTCCCAGTGTTTGAAGAGACTGTAGTGTAACATTTAGATAGTAGGTGTGGAAGATAGAGTGGGTGAATGCGAGTGTGTTATTGTCTATATTTAGTGTACTTACTGTAAATAAACTTGTATATATCTGTATTGCAGTATCTCTTGTATTTTTTTTTCCCGTGAGTGCTGAACTGAGGCTCGTCCCGCATTACAGCTTCAACTATCGATTCTATGGTGCAATAGTCTACTAGAAACATCTACTACCCTTTCTTGCGTATACTGTTTTGAAGAAACTATGTAAGTCAAGAATATATTACAGGTATCATTAACTAAATCTAAGGGAATGTTATTCAAATGCAATCTTCAAATTATTTCGCATATGATTACAATTGGTTCTATGTAGATTGTTTCAGTTACAAACACGTAGTACCCGTAAAAACCAGTTTATGATGTCTTGTACTGGTACTACATATTTTTCCCCATTCTGCCGGTGTTTGGTTTCGTCCACATGTAAGCTGCACTGGCATATAAGCTGCCTGCCCGACTCACCAGTGAAAAAGTTGTGGCTTATAGACCAGAAAATATGGTATTTATCCATGGCCTTGTTTGAGTTCTTTTTCATTTTTTCTTTTATTTTTGAGAAACAGTTGTCATTATATGAAACCAACTTAATCCCAAATGTTTAATGTGGTGTTGTTGAAATCTTTGAACAATCAGCTTTTTTAATCTTAACCTTAATCTACATTCAGTTTATTTCCACAGATATCACTTTTGAAATTCAAACTTAATGTTCCATAAAAATATTTGATTTATTTCTTATAAGCACGACAAGTACACCAAGGCTACCATAAAACTATAATACATTAATATGACAAATTCATTGATTCAATACAAAAGACCATTCAAAATATGATTTATCAGAATCTTGTTAAAGTTATAAATGTAGTTCTGTCATAAGTGTATAAATCAATTTTTTTAAAAGCAAGATGAATGTTGATGTGCTGCAATACTTTTACGGCCATTTAGATAAGGACAATAGTGTCCATTGACAGAACCATTATAGCATGAAGGCGATAATTCAAGGCCCCAACAATGGATCTATAGAAATTGTAGGGTACACCTGTTGACAGTATTGACCTGAACAGTGGAAAATCACACCAGAATTAAGGAATACATAATTTTATATATATACACCTTGGTTGGCATACTACGTACACCTGGAAGTGAGAACCTATAGTCTGTTCTAGATAAGTCTTAGTGGCATATTTCTGTCAATACACAATCAAAGACTTATCAAATATCCATTCATGCCCATTAAATGTTATATAAAGTAGTTTTACCGAAAGCATGAAGCAGGAAAGATTTATTTTTCCCAGATTAAATAACTGTGTTTTTCTGTATTTTTTTTCAATGTATCTTTCATTTGTGGTATACCTGGGTATACTAAAAAAATAACAATCTTAGCAGTATTTCAGTTGCAATATTCATTATATGAAATATGTAATCAGAAAAAGAGACCAGTTTACAATTGGTATCTGTGACTACATTTTTGTACATACAATTTACTTAAAATCTGTCAAACTTGCAACAATCACCACACATTTCACATTGTTTTACCAATAAGATATGTAGGATGGCAAATTTTAAGATATCTCTGAAATTTGGAATTTTAAATTTTAATTTCTTCACAAAAACCAACCTCTGTTTTATCACTTGACCTAGAGGTCAGTCACACAGATATTTTGTGAGTCTGTGATCTGACACTGACATTTTATGATCCTATGGTTTTCTATAATCAAATACAAACAGCATGGAATATTAGAGAGAATGAACTGTCCTCTTGGTCTACACCCAACACAGCTGGAGAATGTCACAGAAATATCCTCATACAGAAACAGATATAATATCCTTCCTTCCCTTTTCATATCATCATGGTATGATCCATGTATTCAGAATGAATTAGTCTACTTCTCACTGGTGCTAAGACAGGAATACAATGATTATAATAATGAAATTGGAAAAATTCATGATTTTTTCATAATACTGGGTGGACAGTAAACATTTAGGTGACTGACCCTGCTGGTTAAGTACGAGGGTGGACAAACATCGTAGTCTGATATATTTTCACAGATTGTACCTTTGGAGACGACTGTAATAGGTGTGATGTCGTGTACAGATGTGATATTTCAATTTACAGGTGTGCCTCTTTTTTTCATGACTGCATCATATTAAATTAACATATATAATAAATCGTCCTCATCTTTTAAAACTGCAATAAATTTGCTAAGTACATAAAGCCAGTATCAACAATTTTGGTCACAGACTATTACTTGATAAAGTTTGGTTTTTGTTCTATTTTCACAGCTTTCATAAGATATCCTTGTTTTTCGAGACCAGTTTGTAACAGGACTTTACAGGTTGATGGCCCGAATTACCTTTTATGTGTTGATGGGCCGTTAAGAATGCAATAATAATAATAATATTGTTATTGTAGCAGGATTGTCAGTATTGGTGTACAATACAGACAATACAGACACATACAGCTGTGAAATATCTACTGTAAAATAATTCATTTTCAAGCTGTATATAATCATTGATTTCATAGGTACTCTTAATTAATATATTCATATGTATACAAACTATTTAAAGAAATATAAGTAGATACAGTATGCATGAAGTTTTTTCCTGGAAAACCACAAAAATTGAGTCTAACAATTTTACAGTATGTGTCAGTGGTGCTTTTGACCTCAGTAGCTTCATTCATATCTAAATAATGATTGTGTACATGTTATAATGTTTTTCCCTATCACATCTATATAAGCCAATCAATTCTTTGTCCACAGACAGAAAAAAATGGTAAATATCCATCATTTGATTTTCAAATGATATTGTAGTTGCTACAAAACACATCACATGATCCAGAATGGATTTCATCAACATCTGTTTCAGCTACAAACATTGTATTATCATATTTTACCACATATAAACCCACTACTTAGTGAACAAGTCTTTCAAACAAAATTTAAATGTCTTTTGCAATGATCATGACTAAAGTACATTCATGTTTGTATTTATAATCCCTAAACATTAACATTAAGATCAACTATTGATTAAATCAGGTATATAACTGGTATGTATACAGTGTAGTTTAAACATCAGTGTTACTGTGTGACACAATGCAATTAAAATTTAAAGACTCTGATTAGCATAATCAATTAATTTATCACCATAAGCTCTGTCACATTCATTACACAATTTTTATCTTATCGTCTATTTATAAACAAGTACTAAAGTCTGTGTGACAAGGACACCAGGTTCTATAACAGTATTTCCTAGTTACCTTAGAGTCTATGTATACACTGTTTTGACTGCCGTTAATGGAAGCTTTCATAAATCTCTTGTTGGTGTTGTTAATACTTACATAATTATAGTATCTTTGAAGTTTTAATAAAGAAGCCCATAAAGACCAAACTATTAGTCAATGACAAAAGTCAAGGTTATAAAATAATTCTATACTAAGGTATCAACTATATTAAGACTACAGGAAAACTGACTAGCAGTGGCACTGTTGAATAAAAGTGTCCAGGCTAGCCAGGTTTATATGGACACAAACAAATAAAGTGTCCAGACTTACATGATTTATGGGTGAAAATAAAGAAAGTGTCCAGACTTACATGGTTTATGGGTAAAAACAAAGAAAGTGTCCAGACTTACATGGTTTATGGGTGAAAATAAAGAAAGTGTCCAGACTTACATGGTTTATGGGTGAAAATAAAGAAAGTGTCCAGACTTACATGGTTTATGGGTGAAAACAAAGAAAGTATCCAGACTTACATGGTTTATGGGTGAAAATAAAGAAAGTGTCCAGACTTACATGGTTTACGGGTGAAAATAAAGAAAGTGTCCAGACTTACATGGTTTATGGGTGAAAATAAAGAAAGTGTCCAGACTTACATGGTTTATGGGTAAAAACAATCAAAAGTGTTCAGATTAACCAGGTCTGTGGGTACAACCAATGAAAGTGTTTAGAATGAGAAGGTCCTACTTCAAGCTTATACCAAACTAAAGTGCGTGGATTAATAAAGTTTCAACTTACAATAAACACACACACAAAATCATCGAAAATAATGAGATTCCATTGAACACAAGATGAGTATCATGATGAATGCTCCCCGAAAACGACTTTCTTGGACACAAAATTTTAACACAGGGTCATAATTCTGTAATTAAGGGGTTGCAGGTCCTGAATTTCGTATACTGCACATCCTCTTAATGTAACCAATTTATACAAGTTTCAGTACTCTTAGGCAAGCGGAACTATGCTCTAGCCACAAAATTTTAACAAATCTTTAATTTAGGGATTGATGGCTCTAACATTGGCACATTGTTCACTGTCTTTGTATGATCTAAGTATAAATTAAGTTTCATGACCTTTATTTAACTGTTGGGAAAAGTTATGCTCCAGACATGAAATTTTCAACAAAGAGCAATAAATCTGTAATGAAAGGGTTGCAGGTCTAACACTGGTATACTGCACATTGTCTTCGTATGATCAAAGTATACACCAAGTTTCATTATCCTAGCTTGAATGCAAACAAAGTTATGCCCTGGAAAAGATATTTCTAACAAATGGCAATAACTCTGCAACTAAGGGGTCAAGGGCTCTTGATTTAGTAAATAACACATTGTTCTAGAATGATCAATATATTCACTAAGCTTCATTGTCCTAGTTTAAATGCAAGCACTTTAAATCTGTGCTCTTGACACCAAATTTTAACAAAGGGCAATAACTCTGTAATTGAGGAGGTTAATAATTTATATTGACTTAGTATGAACAAGATTTACACAAAGTGTTATGATCCTTGCTTAACTGTGGGCACAATTATGCTCTAGACATGAAAGTACGGACAGAAAGATTGCTGGACGAATAGACAGAAAAGACAGCAACTATATGTTCCTGCCCTCCCCAAAATTTTCAGGTATCTAGACCAACAAGTAACTATACACAAAGATCCAAGTATCCAGTCACACAAATGAATGTCCACAAAAATTCTAGTGTTCATACCAACAATGTCCAACTGGTCACAAAAACCAAAATTGCTTGACCAACAAGGTTCAAATGTAACCAAAAACCTAAGTATCCAGACCAACTTCTGTACACAAAAACCCAAGTGTCCACGCCAACTTCTGTACACAAAAACCAAGTGTCCAGACCAACTTCTGTACACAAAAACCCAAGTGTCCAGACCAACTTCTGTACACAAAAACCCAAGTGTCCAGACCAACTTCTGTACACAAAAACCAAGTGTCCACGCCAACTTCTGTACACAAAAACCCAAGTGTCCAGACCAACTTCTGTACACAAAAACCCAAGTGTCCAGACCAACTTCTGTACACAAAAACCCAAGTGTCCAGACCAACTTCTGTACACAAAAACCCAAGTGTCCAGACCAACAAGGTCCATTTGTACACAAAATCAACAGTGCCAAGACTAAATTGTGTATGATGTGACTAGTTTTTGATAACCTGGAAACATAAAAGAGGTAAAGATTATGTTATGAAGACAACTTACATCGTTCAAGTCCATCAATATTCTGGGTGTACATCCTGAGTAACATTCCCTTGTCATGTAACAGCTTAACAAAGTAATGGATGTAGTTTGGACGGTACTTTCCAGAGGGATACAGTTCCTTGGCCAAAGTGAAAAATGGTTTAGGGTTGTGATGGAAATAATCAATATCAAAGATAGCCTCTGGGTAGGGTATCCTGTACTGTTTTAGGTTGTCATACAGTCCTGTTCCTGGGGTCCTATAAATTAAAATACACAAGTTTAAAGACCATCCAGAGACAACAGTATTTTGTAAAAAAAGTTTCTTCTAAGAAAAGGGATTTACAACTTTATAAGCAATGCTTCTTGATTCAGATTATTAGATTTTCTTTTGGGCATTTCAATAAATTTCAGAAAATATCACTCCATATTTCAGATTATCCAGCCAGAAAATCGATTCTGAGATAAAGGGCCTTGAACTATCAACTTCAAGTCTGAGTTGCCATTTGGTGAACATATACCACCAGCGTGTGTACAATTAAAGTCTGGGATGTCACTTTTTGGACTGATCCCAGCAGCTACATTATTTACCTAAAGTCTTGAATGCCATTTTCTGTACTAATGACAGCTCCTGTAGAACTTACTGAAAATCTGGTATGCCACATGTTAAACTGATCTCAGCATCAGTATTATTGACCTACAGTCTGGGATGCCACATGTTAAACTGATCTCAGCCTCTATAGTATTTACCTACAGTCTGGGATGCCACATGTTAAACTGATCTCAGCCTCTATAGTATTTACCTACAGTCTGGGATGCCACATGTTAAACTGATCTCAGCCTCTATAGTATTTACCTACAGTCTGGGATGCCACATGTTAAACTGATCTCAGCCTCTGTATTATTGACCTACAGTCTGGGATGCCACATGTTAAACTGATCTCAGCCTCTGTAGTATTGACCTACAGTCTGGGATGCCACATGTTAAACTGATCTCAGCCTCTGTAGTATTTACCTACAGTCTGGGATGCCACATGTTAAACTGATCTCAGCCTCTGTAGTATTTGACTACAGTCTGGGATGCCACATGTTAAACTGATCTCAGCATCTGTATTATTGACCTACAGTCTGGGATGCCACATGTTAAACTGATCTCAGCCTCTGATCTCAGCCTAGTATTTACCTACAGTCTGGGATGCCACATGTTAAACTGATCACAGCCTCTATAGTATTTACCTACAGTCTGGGATGCCACATGTTAAACTGATCCCAGCCTCTGTAGTATTTACCTACAGTCTGGGATGCCACATGTTAAACTGATCTCAGCCTCTATAGTATTTACCTACAGTCTGGGATGCCACATGTTAAACTGATCTCAGCCTCTGTAGTATTTACCTACAGTCTGGGATGCCACATGTTAAACTGATCTCAGCCTCTGTAGTATTTACCTACAGTCTGGGATGCCACATGTAAAACTGATCTCAGCCTCTATAGTATTTACCTACAGTCTGGGATGCCACATGTTAAACTGATCCCAGCCTCTGTAGTATTTACCTACAGTCTGGGATGCCACATGTTAAACTGACCTCAGCCTCTGTAGTATTTACCTACAGTCTGGGATGCCACATGTTAAACTGATCACAGCATCAGTATTATTTACCTACAGTATGGGATGCCACTTGTTAAACTGATCTCAGCCTCTGTAGTATTGACCTACAGTCTGGGATGCCACATGTTAAACTGATCTCAGCCTCTGTAGTATTTACCTACAGTCTGGGATGCCACATGTTAAACTGATCTCAGCCTCTGTAGTATTTACCTACAGTCTGGGATGCCACATGTTAAACTGATCTCAGCCTCTGTAGTATTTACCTACAGTCTGGGATGCCACATGTTAAACTGATCCCAGCCTCTGTAGTATTTACCTACAGTCTGGGATGCCACATGTTAAAGTGATCTCAGCCTCTGTATTATTGACCTACAGTCTGGGATGCCACATGTTAAACTGATCTCAGCATCTGTAGTATTTACCTACAGTCTGGGATGCCACATGTTAAACTGATCTCAGCCTCTGTAGTATTTACCTACAGTCTGGGATGCCACATGTTAAACTGATCTCAGCCTCTGTAGTATTTACCTACAGTCTGGGATGCCACATGTTAAACTGATCTCAGCCTCTGTAGTATTTACCTACAGTCTGGGATGCCACATGTTAAACTGATCTCAGCCTCTGTAGTATTGACCTACAGTCTGGGATGCCACATGTTAAACGGATCTCAGCCTCTATAGTATTTCCCTACAGTCTGGGATGCCACATGTTAAACTGATCTCAGCCTCTGTAGTATTGACCTACAGTCTGGGATGCCACATGTTAAACTGATCTCAGCCTCTGTAGTATTGACCTACAGTCTGGGATGCCACATGTTAAACTGATCTCAGCCTCTGTAGTATTTACCTACAGTCTGGGATGCCACATGTTAAACTGATCTCACCTACAGTCTGGGATGCCACATGTTAAACTGATCTCAGCCTCTATAGTATTTACCTACAGTCTGGGATGCCACATGTTAAACTGATCTCAGCCTCTATAGTATTTACCTACAGTCTGGGATGCCACATGTTAAACTGATCTCAGCATCTGTAGTATTTACCTACAGTCTGGGATGCCACATGTTAAACTGATCCTAGCCTCTGTAGTATTTACCTACAGTCTGGGATGCCACATGTTAAACTGATCTCAGCCTCTGTAGTATTTACCTACAGTCTGGGATGCCACATGTTAAACTGATCTCAGCCTCTGTAGTATTTACCTACAGTCTGGGATGCCACATGTTAAACTGATCTCAGCCTCTGTAGTATTTACCTACAGTCTGGGATGCCACATGTTAAACTGATCTCAGCCTCTGTAGTATTTACCTACAGTCTGGGATGCCACATGTTAAACTGATCTCAGCCTACAGTCTGGGATGCCACATGTTAAACTGATCTCAGCCTCTGTAGTATTTACCTACAGTCTGGGATGCCACATGTTAAACTGATCACAGCCTCTATAGTATTTACCTACAGTCTGGGATGCCACATGTTAAACTGATCACAGCCTCTGTAGTATTTACCTGAAGTCTGGGATGCCACTTGGTGTACTGATACCAGCCCCTGCCACAACCACCACATTCTTACAGGCATCATTTTTCAGAAGATTGGCCACATCATTCAGCGCCTTGATTTGAATGTTCCCTGCTCCCCCAACTGTACTCATGAAGGACCGACTGTAATAAAATTGTACACAGTATTTGCGAATTGAAATCATACTCAGTGTATTTTTATTCTTAAAAATTTGAAACTTTTTTATTTTGCTTAGGCTGTAAACCATGCTCTATAAATTAAAATAAGAGCAGAACTATCTGTAAAACTTTACTGATGATGATATCACCAACAACAACATACTTTACCTTATAAATACATTCAAACTTAGTCTGCTCATATTGTCATAAAATAATTAAGTAAAACTATATAGACTTCTATTGCTATCCATGTGCTTGAAGTTTACTATTATGTGAACTTTCCATTGCTGACCCTGTTATCTCACTTACCCATTTTTCTGTGGACTTTTGTTATTGACTTTATCCTTGATAGAGAGACCCTTCATCCTGGCTGTGATGTTGGTATCAGACTGAGTCTTGTACACAGGACTGGAGTTGGTCTGGAACGCCCGGATCTGGGTCCTGTGGCCAGCTGTGGCTGTGCTAGCCGAGGGTGGGCGCTCCAAGGAGGATGGAACTTTCACTGAAATAAAAGCATGCATTCTGAAAGGGACTGCTGAACTGTGGCTAAAGATGGAGACAAATTGAACAACAAAATTACTTTACTTATCTTTACTTTTCTCTTTAATGGAAGGAAAGCTAAATAATTTGAATTCAAACAGATTTTCACAGTGTAGAGTAAGAACTGTGATTGAGACAATTTTTGTAAAACTAGAACATTAAGGAGCAAAGTCAACAATATTGATTAATCTTAAATTCTTAGTAGTGATCTAATCAAAATCTCAAACAATGTGTAGTGGGTCAGAATTTCTGAAATTTCCTGTGTAACCCATGTATTTTTTCCTGGTACCTGTGACACGGTGTGCATTTCAGCCCCGCTCAATCTTAGACACAGTAAACAAATATGAAACCATGGCAATCAGATACTGACATCCCATTCTTTTAATCACTATCACAAAAATATAAATCACACTATATCTTTAAAAACCTGTAGATATAGTCACATGTACAAATATTTATGTTGATGTTTTAAAGAGCTCAGGGCTGAAATGAATATAGCTCTGTAAGCCGGTGTTACAAGTCAGGGATTTTTTGTAAGAGTTTTTGGGAGTCAATAATGGGACCCATTCCTATTTACAATTACTTCATACTTATACTTAACTCCAAATACTTTCAAATTACTCCTGAAAATTTCCTTCCCAGTTCACCAATTTTTCTCCCAAAATGAGACAAAAAGGCACCAACTTCACACCAGTGAAAAACCCCTACCAGTACTAACAGGTTGAACATCTCAATTTACGTTCTTTTGATATGATAGTATTGTCATATATGTAAACAATATTGCTATTATTGTACAGTCTGATGTTGAAAAAAAAATTAATAATGCAAATGTATTGAAGTGAAGACTTTATAGCCTTAAACTGACAATGAGGCTAGCTGAAAAACGACAACAATCAAAGAATCAGGAAAAAGATTTGATGTCATTGGCAACTGGCAAAACCATATTTGAAATATTATATCAAGGTCTAAGTGAAAATAATTAATAATTGTTTCAAAGATTCTAATTTTTCAAAAGTTTTTACACAAAATATATTTACAGATATAATCCAAAATAGCAATGCTTTATGTAAACCATCATCACAATAAAAACACTGCAAAGATGTACACTTATTCGACATACAACTGTACACAAAACGGCACCTGACTTCTTTAATTGTTTAAGCAAAGAAATAAGCAATCAAATAAATTCTTGTATGATTATATAATATATTAGATCTGAAATGAAACTAACCACTTATACATAGCAACCATTAGCAAACTTGCTTTACCAAAGGTAACATCAGTATGTACAGATAAACAGTCATGACAACCAATTGACAAAGTCCACCAAAAAAGAAATTCTTAAACAAGAGAATTCCCTGTAATCCTACATAATTCTTCTCTACCATGAAGCTAAGTATATCACGTACCTTGTCATGTTGAGGGTAGGAACGTCACACACAACATAACCTGAACCTCATACATCTGGGTATATTTAAGCTGCCTTGAACTGAACCATCACAATAAGCACATCAAATTTTCATATGGTATGTATGGTTAAATAAAGCTACAGAGAGTATAGCAGTGTTATATTCCTGGGTTATGAATAGGGTCTACTGCTATCTGAAGAAGGGGTACACGGTATACCTACATGTTTAAAGCATGCAATGTTTACCAAGTAACCATTCCAATCTACAGTTGTTTACCTGGTGTCTCCCGTTCTTTATGTACCGAGTCAAATAGAAAATTACTACAGCAAACAAATAACAGATTGCTTTCACATCTCATAAGGAAATTCAATTTCTGAAAAATCATTTGATGTCAGTTTAAATAGAATTATCAAATATTTAAAGTCAGCATGACTGTTTTTCTGTCACATTCATGGTAAAATCTTATCATTAATTTACAACAGTTCTTGTAGTCTGTATGTATACCATACCCTGAATATGTATCCACAAGCACAATTAGGGCAAATTTCATTTCCTGACATATCGCTTGGAGGGATATCCTACCTATATCAAAATTTCATTGAAATGTGTGCATTCATTCCTGGTACACCTGAACAAGATCCTACACACAAAGTGATACTTACCTTAGAGCAAGTTAAATATCAATATTAACACATCCGATTAAAAACTTGGAACATTTACAGTATGTTGTTTTTGTTCTTAATTATCCATAAGTAACACCATTTCTGTCCTTTAAAGCATTCTATATATCTAAATTAAAAATAAACATGAAACCATTTCACACTAAATATCAAAAACAATTCTCCATTTGAATCAAGAATCCAATACCTCTAACACTAGTTGGTGATATAAACACCCAATACATGTATAAATATTCAGCATCGAAAAATTCTGCTTTGTCTGAGAAACAGTATTATTTCTAGCACCTCAACTTTATGGAAACAGAAAATGCTGTGAAAAAATTGTCCTTTACAATGAAGACTTGCTTGGCAATGCTGATGCTGGAGATCATTAGCTCCATATTGTATTGTAAATGTCGCCCCAGTTGCAAAGCTCCATGTGTAAATGTTGCCTCTTTTACAATGCTCTATGTATATGACACTGAACTCAGAGAAAAGTTGACCACTATGATAATGAATTGTTCCATGCCGATTGGTCATGCTTTATCTAGTCATAAAATCTTTTATTTTATTAGACCATTGGTTGCTTAGAGTAATGAATTTGCCTAGTACAGATATTATTGCATTAGGCCTGAACTTGATATTCCTAGATGCCAAGACCTATATAGGTACACATTACGAAATCTGTGCAAATACTGGTTAACCTTACGAAAAGTATACATCATAGGAAAGAAACGAAAGAATGGCGATACTTTTTCGTAGATATCACCTATCACCATATCCAATAATGCTGAGAATGGTATATAAAAGTGTCCTTACCTGCTTTTGCCTTTTACATAATAGATGAGCACTGAAGGTAAGAGTGAAACAATAAAGTTTTCCTTACGGGTGCATTTTGTACTGTCCTGGTATAATTAGGGTCACTCGGTACACTACCACTGTAAACTACAGAAACACCCCACACCTTTAGAAAGCTCCCGGTTTGTGGCAGATATAGATAATGTGTATTGGGTGTAATGCTATACATGTTTGTGCGGATTATTATCACCAATACAGGTGAAAATGTCAACAACAGTACTGGTATCACCTGACAGCTAGAACGTTAGCTCTATAGTTCATGAATATTACATATAATCAATACGTTTTGAAAGAGACATTTACATCTGACAGACACCTTGAGGACAGATTTTATAACGTCAGGGCTTTCCTATATTTTACATTTGGAATCATTTTAATATTATCACATTCTGGTTTTTTTTCGGATAATGTGGGACCCATTCCCAATTGAAATAATTTGTATTTAAGCCTAATTCCTCTTTTTACTCTTGAAAATTTCATTCCCAATTCACTTATTTTCTTCCAAAGATGAGGCTAAAATACCCAATCTCAAACCAGTGAACAAAGACCTGTATAATCAGGCTTTGGAAATTCTGACACAGATTTATGCTTCTATGCAATCAACAAAATGGAAAGCAACAACACTTGTCAGCCATCAATTTTTCATTGATCATACATGAATAATGTGGATCGAGATATTTTTTATAGTGAAACTTCCAAATTACAGTTTTTGCCTTCTTCTGGTACTTCCAAATTATAGCTTTAGTTTTCTTCTGGTATTTGTGTAATAATCACTTTTTCCCTATAGATATATATGCTTTATGTGGAAATTTTGTGTTCCCTTGAGGCAATACTACAATTGGTAATTCTTAACATTGAAATCATATTTGTAAGGCCTTTTAATTACGATATGTATAAATAGACATGCAAGAACACTCGTAAATGAACATGTAACATCATCCAGATAGCCTTTTGCAAAGTATGGAGTACTGACTGACAAATCACAATTTCCTAAAACAGAAGCTGGCATCCCAATGTTCCAGAATACTGCTCACATTGGAGCTCAGTGGAATGTTTATCAACTGGCAGTTATAATCCAATTTTTCCTTGTTGATATACAATGAGGGACATATAGCAAACAGATGATTAATTTTATCCCACATGCACAGAACTTCGTACACCAATACACTAATATGTAGTTCATTTTATGGGATACGGTATGCAAATCCTTTATTATCTGAAACATTGTAGAGGTTGGGTAGAACATATCAATCAATAGAATATTTCAGGGTCAGTAATATATATGTTATTGCATCTGATACCAAGAATCAAAACCTCTCCATTTAGACAGGTTAAGGGGTTGTGTCCTCTGTAAGAAATTATCCAATCAATGATGCTCTTGGATTGTCAATGGACTCATGATCACCAGTACAAATAGTCAGAGAGTGCATACAGGCATACATGATATGCATCTGTAGATACACGATACACATATGCTAGTTAGAAACAGAAAAAGAACATAATTTTTTACAGCACCTTTTTTGTAAACAATATTTCTAATAATTTGATCCCACTGTATTCAGAGATCTAGAGACTAATCATTCATTGGAGTAGTGTCAATACATTTGTACATTCAACACCCTGTCATTATACAGCTGACTTTTTCCCTACTATTTTTGTAAAGTCATTCAATTTCATTTCTTCTTCAAAGTTCACAAAATCCTAAATTATGTAGTTCAGCCATGTATGAATTGAAATGATTTTCAATTCACATTGCACAGAGATAGACACCATATATATGTTAAATAGAAAGAGGCATTGAAAATGGAGGATCAAATTACACTAATAAACTCACATAGATATTACATAACTCATATTTAATTTCAAACATAAGAAAAGGAGTTTCATTACATATATAATTAAATACCTGCTCAGTGAATTTCTTACACATGGATACCTTTATAGTTAAAGAGATTATTAGATACACTACACGGAGATATATACGATCTAACAGGCTTTTAGGATGCTAAAGAAAGACTTAAGTTACCAAATGAAATACTTTGTTTGCCCCAGGATGAAATTTATTTTTAGATTTATGAAAATGAACAGCCAGGTGGTAGTGTGGAGTACAGTTCTAGTTGTCACCATTTATCTCATCATGACTGGAATTCATTATAAGTTGCTCTCTAAATAACTTAACTTGTATTTCATCGAGCTTCAGCTTTTCATTTTCACGTCATCATTAAACTGATTCATTTGTCGGGGCGGATTTAATCCAAGAAGACCAGTACGCTTTACGTACTAAACAGAGTTCAACGTTACAGAGTTTGGATACATTTGGTTATTGTTTTATACATACATATATTAATACTGGTTAGCATATGACACCCGCTTGGTATGTTACATTAAAATTGTTCACATTAATTAATACAGATTTATTTCATAAATCAGCTGGCGGTGGCAAGGGGGTCAAAGGTAAACATTTTTCCAATTTAATTTTCGAATAGACGTACCTTTTCCGACAGCTGCCATCATAAAGCGTCTCAACATCTTGCGGTGATACTAAATGATGCCATTTCTGTCGTTTCTAGCTCGTATCCTAGTTGAACTACTACTAGGATAAGATAAACTTAAGTTCCGTTACGTTCAATATTGTCATACTTCAACCAAACAGACGCCATGATTACTTAGATACTAGCATTTTGAGCCTCCTAAGAAAAGAGTTCCATTAAAAAGCTGTCTGCTACGTCTACAGTCTGTTTCAAATAACTATATTTCTTTCAAAATATCACTCGAAACGACTAACTATAAAGTTGCAGTATATCTTCTTGCGGGTATTGAAAATACCGATTTCCGCCAGTCATTGAGAAAAAAGCTTTAAAACTTGTAAAAATCGACAGCTTTGTTTATTTGTAAAGGTCTGTCACGTGTACTGTTACAAGAGACCCATTTATATTTAATATGTCAGTTTTCGAAATGAGTTGATCGATGGTGTCTACATTGCATCCTCAACCTCATTGGGTTCCCTGAAGATTCGGTAGCTGAAGGTGTGATGTGAGGTGATTCTTAATTAGAAGGAGATTGAATGGGGGGGGGGGGGGGTAGGGGGGGTAGCTGAGTTATGCGTTATCTTGTGTGGCATTGTCTTTTACCAACAACATCGAACTTAAACAAGATCTTTTACGATTAGCTAATGTACCCAACCTTTTGCTGAACCAGATTCACCTAGGCCTTTCCTTTTTTCTGGTCTGTTGTCCGTCATTGGCCGTTCGCAAGAGTGACTTTGTCATTTACAGGTAGCCCCGCCCTGGTGATCAGGCTGACGATGAGAAGTTTTGTGGGTTTTTTTCTTCATCTGGATTGAGACGTTCAAAATGTAGATATGAAGACACTGAAACATTTGTCAGAAACATTAATCAATTTTAGCAATACTGTAAACTTAGCCTACTTTGAATAATATCTATGGGTTGAAGATTTGTATTTTGAATCCACATGTTTGTCTGTATCAGATTTGATTTCCACCATCTAGTGCCCTATCTGTTGGATTTCTTATTGGCAATATATTCACCAAATCAGTATTGGACCGAGAACATTCCCGTGAAGAACACGGCTCTATGCAGTTGCACAATTTCCAATGCAGTTTCAATAATAACGGTTTGGTTGTATGGCTTCTTAAAAGACATTACTCCGTCCCAGAATATTTCCAATAATTTCATCGCGTTTCTTTGTTTGTATAGAAGCAGTCGCTGACATACTTTGTTGAAGGTTGTTTTGAAATCCATGAAAAAATGGCACCCCTCTCAGAGGGATTGTCTGTAGCATTACATATCATCCACACGGTTCTTACAATAATGATTCTATTGAAAGTGACTATATAATATAATATATATAATATAAGGTGACACCCTTATATTCCGAAGGCCTAATAGTCCGAAGGCCCAATAGTCCGAAGGTCCAATAGTCCGAAGGCCCGATAGTCCGAAAATGGTTACGTATTTTTGTTTCTTATTTAACTGTAAATGAAATAATGACGAAATCTGGAGAGAAAAATAGTTAGGTAATAATAACAGAAATCTTCGTAACATTTATTACAGGTTTCGGCACAAAAATGGCCCTATTCTTTTATCTTGTACTATAATAGTTAAGTGAAAGGCGACTTATATTTTTCGTAAACGATGTGAATGTTAACAGAAATGGCGCGAAAAATGTAGAAGAAATCATGCACTGTAAACAGTACGGGGAATCCCACTTACATGAGCGGCGAAGATGGCGCGAAAAAAACTGAGAAAATCCAGCACGGTAAAAGTTTCATGGATTCCGACTTGCATGAGTGGCGCGAATAAATAGCAGAAAGAAAAAAAAAATGAAAACTAGCGGTACGGGAACAAAAAAATAAACATTTTAAAAGTCTTGCGTAGAAACAAAGAGCTCAAACAGAAACCAGTTTGTCCTTTGAACAACATGGCATACTGTATGGATGGAATAAAACAGGGTAAAATCCTTGTGTATGATGGATTCAGATACCATAAAAATTGCGATACCGACCGCAAATGGCTTACTCCCATTTCGCCTTAGCTGTCAATTTCATGGTAAAAAATCATTCCCATTTCGCCTTAATGCCAAAACCAGGTTGGATGAAGTCAGCTAAGGCGAAACGGAACCTTGAATATACAAATTAAGGAAGTCAAGTAATTAATTTGATATTGTTCATTTAGCTATATACTAGTATTCTTGCAATGTCATCAATACAAACATCATAAACATTATAGATATATAATATATATATATTGATACAGACAAGTATACATTTCATTCAACATCATGTTATAGTTAGGCACTATCAATCTTATCATATCAATCTTTTAAACAAAGCACTTATGTTCAAAAGGTTCTCTGCTTCAATATGATATAATCAATAGTTCTAACATGATTCAAATTAAGCACTATAAATGTCACAACGCTGCGTCTCCATACTGGATGCAGTCTTTGGTCCCATTCATTAGATCAGCCTTTAGGTTTGCTAGACATTCTTCTACTTCTCTGTATTTCCTTGCTTTCTTTCGTCTTTGTTCGCCTGGTGCATATTGGATTATCTTCACCTCGGTAGCTGCTTGCAGTCGCTGGAACTCCTCAAAGATCTTGTAGATGTTGGGATGTGCTGGGTCCTACGATTAGAAAGTGGTTCCATTTTGGTTGTGGATATCGCCCTTCAATCCATGTCTCTGTGACATAATCTGAGTTTCAGACAGTCTTCTCTCTGTGGGGCATTTTCTAGGGCATGTAGCCAGTAGTGTAGTGGAAGAAGTGGCAAAGCTGCTGCACGGCAGACACATTTCTGGACTTCAGGAAAGTTCTTGTAGTCAGTCTGAAGTCTATATTCTTGCGTCTTTTTCCAGATGGCTTTTGTGTAGTGGAAAAGTCATCCTTTGAGTTCTGCTGCTGGAAATGTCTGAGTGACGGCATTACGGGAAACACATTCGAAATCAAGGCTAATACTTCTGGCCAGAGACGTATATATCACATGATATGTTCTGGCTGGTAAACTCTTGAAATAGGTAGCCACATGTTCTATTTTAAAACAATCTATCATAAATGTTAAGGTATTTTATCATAGACGTGAAACAGAATGTTTCTTATTTTATTTGTAGATTAATTTACCCAAATACAAATCCTATGATATAGATAACAAATTCAAATCTGTTATTAAACTATGAATCACGGTATATATATATATCCTTTGTAAACACTTAAGAGTACGGAACACGAACATCCAGCAGACGATGTCGTCATCCAGTCTGGAGCTGCTTTTAGCTGCATGAAAGCAGCGATTGAAGATGAACCTACTGTCCAAATAAAACGGACCTCCGACAAAATATTGGCGGAAATTGTTGATGACGATGATGATGGTGCTGAAGAACTGCCGGACTTTCCGCATATGAGGACAAGGTTGCAACGAGCGCGGGCGACTGTTTTACCGCCGATTCCGCATGAAGTAGATGGTGTCAATATTCAGGGGGAATGGTCAAGGACCTGGAACGGCAAAAGGTTCCTAAGTCACCTCAATAATGACTGGGGAATTGATTATTTTATCCAAACCTCATGATTTAAGTCGTTTCAACTATTCTAAAATTCGTATATTGTCTTCAATGGGTAGCGAGATTGCAAGCAAGATCAAACGTATAATTATTAATACATATTTACACGTAAACTGCTAAATATGACAAAAAAAAAAAAAAAAAAAATGCCATATATTTGTCTTTGCATCTGGAAAGTAAAATTACTCGCTGTATTGACGTCCAAAGGCAAGTGTGTCCTTAACAACTCCTTATTAATCATTAACATGGTAAAATATCATAAAGTTTTATTAAAAACAAAAAAACGAAAAAGCAAAAAAAAAAAAAAAAAAACATGGGTGAAGTTTGATCCACACAGACTAAGACGGCCAGACCATTGACGGGGCTAGAATAGCAATCATTATTTTTTGTACAGAAGTACATGTATATGGTTGTAGTTGATTGTCTATTCAGGGCAAGTATTTCGATTTAAATTATGCAATATTATGTAAATATTCCAAGACAAATCGGACAAACGACCTTCGGACTATCGGGCCTTCGGACTAGCGGCCTTCTGACTATCGGGCCTTTGGACTTTAGGGCCTTCGGACTATTGTGCATTCGGAATATAAGGCGGTCACCATACATGGATACGGAACAATAGTACATCTGCAATCAACAAATGCATGCACTTTAATTATAAACACGAGGAATGCTGATTTGACTTTCTTATGAATGATGAATTTTAAGTTTTCGAAATTGGAACATAAGAAATGTGTACATCATGATGCATGATTGTTGACGTTCTATAAGCAAATTATAGTTCATGGTTGTTGGCGTTATATTAAGCACATGTGTGCATATGGCGTATTTTGCGTTTCTTTTTTAAAATTTCACTTTGTAGGGTAAATGAGCAATCTATTTTACGTACATTTGATAAATATCTAATATTGACAACATTTCTGCTAAATCTAGACTCGCTAAAATGACCCATTTCGGACCTATGCAAGTCTCTTTAGATAATGTACTCGTCACGTGATCTACTTTCATTTTCTGCCCTCTTAGCGTACAGAGGTACCGGTCTGTGAAAAATACCGCATACAATCAAAAATTGAAAATAAAACCATATTGCTTTGGTTTATTGGAACAATTACTTCATCAAACCAATATAGTTTTTGTGATACAATGCTTCGTTAAATGATTACTAAGCAAAAATGATACGCTGAACTGAATTGGAACTCTTTCGCGCATCGTAAGTGCGCAGGGAACAAGAGGTCGCCATATTGAGGTATTGTTTTGGATCGAAGGGTCGTAAAGATAGAGGGGGTCCTGTATTCTAGCCGCTCCTGACAAAAGAATACTGACCAAGAGGCAAGCTGGACAAGTTACCGGAGTATCTCCGAGATACTATGGACTGGTTTATGGGGTGAGTAAAACCCGTCAAATTACACAAGCAAAACATTGAATCGTCAGAACTTGACATCGATTTTTGATCGTCTGCCAGAATGGTAAAATACAGGTCCTGATACTGCTGCAAGACGTATTCCGTGGTTTTCTGGCATATTCACTTAACATATAGCGATGCCATTGTCCATGATTGGCCTGCGGAATAAATGTCTTTGAAATTACCAACGAGGGAAAGTAATTGACCTACATTCACTGCAGATGTCATAGGTGCACCTGTTGTTGTTGATGATGCTGACTGCCGGATTGATCGATTCGCCTCAAAATGGAAAATCCACGGCATTCCATTCGGTAAATGGACCAATATGAAGACAGAAATATGTATACAAAATAAAATAAATGTGATTGTATAGGTATAAGCAGATAAATGTATAATTTAAATTTCCACCTTTTAAGGCTAAACATAAAGCAAACGAACAGTGGTGAGGTAAAATCTTTCTGTGTATATCAAAAGGTTTGATATCAGTCAAAAGGAGTATCACCTCCATAGATTTTCCATAATGAGTATATGTATTAAATTTGCCTGGCATTTTGCGATTAAATTGTCATGCAAGACTTTAAGCTAGAAACTTTTCGATGCAGCAATTTTTCCATCTGTAGTCACACTTATGGGAAAGAAAACAGAAATTGAACTTGGACATCTAGCATGATAGTACACTGGCTAACAGCTCTGTCAAAGTGTAACCCTGGTAAAATACTAGCCGCAATATACCACTTGGCTAGAGAGAACTTCTCTTTAGCTTGATTGGTTGAGCATCAGACTAGAAAGTCAGGGGTCCCGGGTTCGATTCCTAGCGGAGGCATTAAAATAAATAATGACCTCTGTTACAAAAGCATATGCTCCATTAGCTGTGTGACTGAGATCATATTAAACACAATTTCCAGTAGGCCAATGTTGAACAAGTAAATGTAGTGAAATTGGAGACAGAAAACTTACAGCAAAACAAGATTGGAATTCAAAACCTTAAACGGAAAAGCAACCAAATTCAAACTTTCAATCTCAAAATCTGAAGTACAAAAAATGGAAGTGGTGGTATTCACACTCATTACCTCCAATCTAAAGGTTGATCCTTCAAAAATATAGTAAACATTTTAGCAACAATTTGTTACTTACAGCAAAATAATTCACTGTCTAGACAAAGTATGTTTCATCCCTTGCAACAAGCTGCATAAAATAGATCTAGAATGACCAAAAAAAGTAATTGCTTGATGTATTTTCACATTCTGCATGAAAGTTTTAAGCACTTAATGTTATCAGACCTGGTATCTGCACACAATTAAAGAAAGATTAAAAAAAAATTATTCTTGTATGTACTGCATAAAAGGGACATAACTCATACAGTGGTTTGATCAGAGTCAAAATTATGACCTTTAACCTCACTTGGAATAAAAAATATAACGAACATTTTTTATCATTTATATTTACATATATACTAACTTTATAACAGATCCTGCAAGAATTTGTGAATGCTAATAAATTTTTACAAATTTCTGTTTATCAAACATATATATTTATTGACAGATTGAACATTAATACAGTTATTAGAAAAAAATGGTGAAATATATACTAGAGTATTAACTCATAAAATTGCCACTCCAGAAGATTATTTAATTTTCTATAAACTTTATTTCCGCCAACAATTCACAATATAATGAATACATTATGTATTTCATGTTAATCTTTTCTAAGGATGCAAATGAGACACTTATTTGTTTATTGATGTTAATGTGTTCTCTTATTTATGGTCATTTGTCAATGTCAGTTGTACTTTTTAATTGTGTATTTGCTTATATTAAACTATATTGGGATAGCTTATGCATCTTTAAACCTGTGCTGGGTTTGTTTTTGGTGTATTATTAAGAAGGTTATATTAGATGTAAATTGCAGTGTAACAAAGGCAATTTGCATAAGACTTTTTTAGCTAGGTTTATAGGCCTGAACAGCTAGGACCATTTTGAGCCATGTGTTCATGTAGTAGGTGGTGGCAATCACGCTGAACATCATTTAGAAAAAAAAAAGTCACATGCCTAACAGAGCAATTGGAGTAAAGTGTTGTGCCCAAACTCCCACAGAAAAGAAGCATCAACTGTGCACCTTAGATATTAACCTGTGTTTATGTGGGCCAATTCTCTTACTCTTCTCTTAATTCTCTTAACTGAACTATCCCTGTCTCCAGAGTGATGTTTTATTTTATAGCCAAGTGGCACTCAGATGGCAGAAATCTAATCTAGTAATATTACTCCTTTTAATTACATTGAGTTTTATCATAGGATGATGAATTAAAATCTACTGTCAAACCATTTGGTACCATTAAACATTTGATTATATTTACATTTCATATATATTAGTACATATGTATGGAGCCTATAATAAAGCATATTTATTGAATAATCTAATAATTTTGTATATCAGGGACTACACTCTCAATTTAAACTATAAGTTAAATATACACTATATACATTGCTGTTAACCTGAAGTTAAACCTCTGAGCTTGATTTCTAAGCAATTCAAAGCAGGATAGACAATTTTTTTTAATAAATTCAAGAGGGATAAGGAAGTAATTGACTCTTTAATTACTGATAGAAGCAGTTTAAGAGCTGACAACTCACAGAGAAGACTCTTAACATTTCCTTAACGAGAAGAAAGTAAGAAAACTGATTCATAAATGAATTAAGTATTCAAGAGTGATAATTGAGCTGAAAACAGACAAATCAGCAAAAAGAGAACACTTTAGACAGTATATTCTACAGACATATTGATATTAAAATGAGTATTGGGGGTAATATTTTCCAAGAATTAAACCTAATAGAGAAGCAGTAAAGGGGAAGAGCCAACAACATAATTTCAAGTAGGCGGTTCCGGGTTTCAGCAGGTTACCCAAAGGTGTGCAGGGCGGTTGTGTCGTAGGGTGGATCAATACAAGGTAAACAACCTACAGCTTCTGAGTATGTTTCTTCCATTGAAGCCTGACAAGGGCGAAACATGTTGATGAAGATCATATAAATTGAAGAAAAATACTCGGAATCTGTAGTGGTTTTTTACCTTGTAGTAAATCTTACAATTTACAAGTTACAATTGAGAGTGTAACCCAAAGAAAGCTACCACAATAGGAATCCAAGCATACATTGTAAACAATGTTTCAAGATGGGGAATGAATATCCATCTTGATAAATGTTACATGGATTGATTCACACAAAAGCCAAAGATTATATGGCTACTGCTCTAACAAGTATTCACAAAGTAATGATGCAGTAGGAAATCGGTGTTGTAGGGGGAGGAGGGAGAATGATTAGAAACAAAGCACACAGCTGACCTGAGAACCATGGATGAATGGGCACTGATCAATAAGATATGCCCCTCTACGAGCAATATTAGCATAAAACAAAAGTTGCAAACATGGACCTTGTTAATTAGTAAACATAACATTCAAATGATAATAAGAAAAACCAATAGCAATAGATTTATAAAGTCAAAATTTTCAAAAATCCATCTCAAATTACCGTACTTGCCTTCCACAATGATTTATGAATTCAGTATCCAAGTAAAGGGGTTTCCATTTCTTATCAGTTATTTTTGTAAGGAGGTTCATATGTGAAACCTTGTAATATTTGCCTTGGATGTTTAGAATGTCATATAGCTATCCATATATAACCTCTATGAATCATTAGGATTGGGTAAATAATTCACTCCCTGTTGGCAAACAATGCATTAGACTTGTTTGATAATTACAATCGGAGATTGAAGGACAAATTTCAGTCTCGCAAGATTCAGCATGTGATAAGCTCAATTACTGTGCTATTTCATGCTATGAAACTGTTCTGTTTCGTCTCAATATGTGTACCTCTGTGCAATTAGAGTGACCTCACAGCACTGAAGCAGCTGGCTCTTTTCTCAGATCTATTTGCCTGCTATACATGTCTGTCCTATTGATTAAAAGTTGTAATGCATACATTTAGGTAAAGATAACATTATTTCAATAGGTCCAACGAGAGTACTATCTAATACAAGTAATGTTGACAACTTAGTTATTTGGAAATTGGAATATTGGAAATTGTTAATATGCTTTTATATATTGCTGGTTTGATTGAATAGCCAGAATCATTTTGAAAGGGGGATTTTCTTATATCAGGTGGTTATTACTGTACTGAACATCACATGGGAGGGCTACTATATGCTATCCAAAGCAATTGCTTTGAATTTGTGTAAAATGTCTTGGTTATAGAGGCAACCATGACAGCTTTCAGAGAAAGTATGAAGCATGCTTGGGTGAAAGAGACTTGTGTATGGTTAAGCTGACCCCCAGGTGGTTGAGATGTCGGACCCAATGGAGAAATTGTTATAAAACTTTAGAATTCCATTGTGTTCACTTTCAGCCAAACATAGCAGGTCGAGCAATCCAGGCTTTATAGGAAGGAGAAAACTCTTTTAAAGATGGGACGTAACTCTTTCATATTGCTGAGCCTTAGTTTTTCAGTATCTGTAGCTTTAATTGGTTATATAATACTGCACATGATTGCATAGTTAGTTTGATAAATGAAATGATAGTTGATTAACTATTTAACTATAATTATTGTGTTAAATAATAAATAAAAATAAAAACATTTGTATGAATTTTATCATTGTAAATATATCATAACACTAAAATTATTTAGTAGAATCAATATTCGGTATGCAACACATTAAATAAATATGACATTTTGTTTGAGCTCCACACTTATGATGACTTCAGCATTTTAGTGATGAATATAATACTTTCAGCAACACAGTTTGTAATCACAAATCACAATCAATAGTACGAGGCCATCTGTTACCGAGATTTTATATGTTGGGGATATGATTATTCAACAGTACAGTAAAAAGTTATAAAGTTTCTGGATGTAAGGCTCTTCAGAATGTGTTTACAGCCGATAGATGCAACACGATTCATACGCATTTTCCTGGCACGAGTCTTTAACAAGAAC